CCCCACATATACATAAGCAAGCACCAGCAAGAGAGGCCTGCAAGGCACAGCGAGCTGGCTTTATTGTAATTGTGCAGCTGAGTACCTACAGTCAGGATGAGAGCAAAGGAGGAGTGCTGCCTGTGTGTATGTGTGTGTGTGTGTGTGTGTGTGTGTGTGTGTGTGTTTGTGGCAGTCTCTCTGAAAATAAGTGCATATAAAATCTGATGGAAAATGAAAGCTCTCTGGGCGGGACGAGATTATGCACAAGTGATTAATAAGAGCAGTAATAAACAAAGGCCCAGGAGATGTTTGAGGTGCTTAATAATGCATTATGTTCATAAAAGAGCCGGGCCTCTCCAACTGATCCCTGTGGAGTAGGAGACCCCAGAGGGACCAGGGGAGAGTGTGCTCTTAAAAGACAGCAACTGCGTGTGTGTGCGTGTGTGTGTGTGTGTGTATATGTGTGTAGGAATGTCTGTGTATGTGTGCCTGAGAGTAGATAAGACATAACCATGGGACTGTAGCGACAATAGACGTGGGGGATATTTGATGACGTTAATTCACAGTGATTTGTCTTACATGTGTCATAAGTAAGAATTGGATCTAGGTGGTTTTATTTTTGTTAGATTTGGAGTGAAGTTTGGGTTGGATGTTATTGGCACTTCTTTGTTCACTGCACCATCTCGTTTTAATTTTAAATGCTATCTAGCTCTGTCTCCACTCTTTGTTTTGAGCTTTAAAATGTCTTGGTATTGATGTCATTCCCTCTCTGTCCTTCAGTCTGTCAAACAAAGACATGGATCTGCAATGAAAAAGAACAGGTTAAGAAGTGTGTTTTGTTCACACACAAAAGCCGCCGCTTCCCACAATCATTTTTTTTCTTCATTCCAACTATCTTTTTATTTTAGTATTTTCTCACTCCATCTGCCACATCAAGGTAAAGTGTGACTTGAGTTTGTTATCTGAATATCTAATGCTCGTTGGTTTAAAATGCGGCACAAACAGAAAAGTCATGTTCGTGAATTTGTTGTGAGCAGTTTGTGTTTTTTCTAATGGAAACGAATCCTTGACAGGTGAAGGAAAACTGGCAGCATTTTATCCTACAGTACATATCTTATATCACTTTACATTGTCTGTGAAGGTGAAAGTAAAGACTTGGTGTTCTTTCAACCTAGTTTTGGTCCTTGACAACAATATTACAGCAGTGTTACTGTTTGTTGCAGCAGCGGCACAGCGTGTTTATGGACCTTGAAGTCCACTCAGAGGAAAAAAAACAAGACTGTTTTGAATGAAATGAAAAAACCTTGGAGCACAGCCTTGTAAATTAATTTGTTCGTGTTGTATGATGGGAACACAGCTGGCCTCATTAACATGCGCACAACAAATAATTATAGCTTTTTTTTCTCTCTTCAGCCAGCCAATGCTTGGCTAATGGGCTTGCTGGGTTAATTATGTCAGAGCGTAATTACACAGGGCCCAGGGAGACATAATGGTGCACCCTGCTGCGCCCACACCGCCTAATGATGGTGTATCGCTGACAGGGCCAAGACGGACCGCCCCGACACACCTGCTTGTCTTGGCGCACACCACCCTGGTCCGCCCCCACCCACCTAGACACACATCCTGAACCTCTGCACAGTCCTCCGCGGAGCCACCCGCAGTCCGCCGAATCATCCAGCTCCTGACAGGCTTTGGCTCCTGCTCACCCCTGGACTGAGGGCTCGCCCAGATACAGTAACTGCCTCCCGCTTTTGAGATGTGCAATATCACAGAAACAGCAACGCAGTGACCACAAGGAGGCAGCTACGGGGTGGCAGCCTCATTATCCCTCAGCCAAAGTGATGAAACTCTATATCAATGCAGCTGAGAGTGTAGAAACAATTAAAAGTCATGCTAACTTTAGTTGGCTATTAGCAAGTTGGGTCTTATTTTTGGAGTTTTGGCCATTTCGTCTATGAATGGTAATTTCTAAGTAAGAATAAACACACAGCAAAGAACAGACCAGTGTGAGCTTCACTGCATCTACATCGTCTTCATCCAGTTTCCCTATACACATGCATACTGTACATGCTTGATCAGTCATGTGACTTATAGATCACCATAGATAGTATATACAGAAAATAAAACACATAACTTTATAAAACATAAAACTCTATAACCAACTTTAAAAAAAAAAAAAAAAAAAACCTTTGTCAAACACAATCTTTTATCTTAACCCATCGATAAGTAAAAGTTGAATTTCAGTTTTTCTATAAAAAGCAAAACTGTTCTCTTTTAATGTCTAATCAAGTCTCCTCCATCTCCATCCGATATTTATAGTCCTAACTCATTTCAAAGTCAGTCTATGGTTTACACCTCTTCCTTGTTTTTTTCTGGTTTGTGTATATGGTCTTTTATGATTGTCTTAAAATTTATCTGAGATGTGGGAACCTGGTGACGTTGTTAAAAAGAGGTCAGATGAAACACAAACAGTCAGACAAGCACACGGTTGTAAACTCATCCCCAGGTGAGCCAGACTTGACAAACAGTAAAATGAGTCCCTGAACTGTCAGTTGTTAACATCCATCACTGTTTTCACACTTCCTGGTCCTGTTTTATATATTTATCCTGTTAAATGAGGGATTATAAATAAAGACATTTCAGGCAAGCAACTTCTCACTTTTACTTCCTGTAAAACAGTCGGCTTCTTTACTTCCTGTTTGACTGTCTTACTGCTTGAGTTTCTTGCCTCATTGGACTTTGTTGTAGCGATGTCACCACCTTCCCAGATCTCAGTACAGTACAAGTACAGCGTAACTGAAACTGATAACAAATGGTCAAAGCTACAAAAAATATGACCTGTGTGCTGTGATAAACCAGAATTATGTTCACGCTTTCACCATGATGTTATCCAACCTCCCTGTGCCGCTCTGCTCCTCTCAGTGTCTGCGCCTCCTCTGGAGCTGGACCTGTGCTTCACCAGAGAAAATGATGTATTAAACGTCTTGTGATTTATTAACGTAAACGAGCTGCTGTTGCCCAATCAGTTATCATGACCTCAGAGCAGACATCCAATCATCCATAATTAAGATAAGGGATGAATTAAAAATTGAAACGTTTATTTGCACCAAGAGTGATGTGACTCACCCGATGTACATAATGCCCCGTCAGCTGTTATATTTCTTGATTAGCAGGAATGCGAGCGGTCGGGTTGGAGTTGAATTCCTCTTGTATTCCAGGTTTTATTTGGTGGATTTACCATCAGAGCTGCGCTAAAAAGAAGCCCGAGTGCTCTGTATTAGCTACATCAATTAGCAGCTCCATTTTCCAAAGTTATCAGCAGCTTTCTGGACTCTCCTTCAGTAACTGTAGATCCTGGGCCCTTGGAGAGCATCCCTGCTGCTCTACTTTGATGGGGGATAATTTTGTATACAGTCTTAAGTTATATCCCTTCACTTTAAATTTGACTTTACTTTACTCCCCTGCCACTGATTGATAATCCTGGCTTGTCCATGTGTGAGAGATCCCTTACTATAATCTCTGTCCTTTGATCATTAAAAGTTGAAAGGATATATGGGAAAGAGGCTGATAAAGTGATTTCTGTGACAGTGGGTCGATGGAATAGCAGTGCTTTAAGTCATCCTGTTTGTCTTAGAAGAGCTGTGCTCTTAATAGTGATGTCCCTTGTGACTGATGCAATATCTCCACAGTTGGTGTAACAATGAATGCAGACAATGCTTGACTGTAAACGGTCCTGGGAAAAATAGCTCAATCAATTAAATGGCCCAAAATGTTTGTCTGATGAAAATGCAGATATGGCGAGCTGCAATGTAAGGCCAGGATTTCAACAAATTGCACATTGCAGAAGTTTTGGCTCTCTGATGAGCATTTATTTTTGTGGTCTGTCGGCTCAGAGTTTGCATTCTCTCAGTGACATCTGGCAAAGTTTAAACGTCTGTGGCTCCAACTTCTTATGAAAAGTCACTTCAGTCAGTGCCCATACCGAAGAAGGGATCCAATTGGGTTCCACACAGAAGTCTAAGATGAGTGGATGAAAGCTGTGGGAGAAAAGTTTGTGCAGCAAAGCAGCGATTTTCCGCCTCTTTTAGAGTTTTGAAGGGCTGTGGTGTGTATGTGTGTGTGTGTGTGTGTGTGTGTGTGTGTGTGTGTGTGTGTGTGTGTGTGTGTGTGTGTGTGTGTGTGTGTGTGTGTGTGCGCGTGGCTCTACATCTTGCCTCCCCCCTTGTCAAGGAGCTCCCCTGAGCTTCCCTCTCTGTGCTTTGGCACTAGAAGTCACCTCCTTTGGTGTTCGGCAGGCAGGTACACAACAGGAGCAGCTCTCTCTCTCTGAGCTGTTGAACTTTTCGGGAGGGGAAGAAAGGGAAGGGGAAGATTAAAAACAGCCCTGTGATGTGGAGTGCCGAGCTGCCTCCTGAGAATTCCTGGCATAATAATTTAAATGATCAAATGATACAGAGGAGACTTGTTAGCTGAGAAACAGCCTCCTAGTTGGCCCCATGGGCCCGGTGCTGCCGCGCATGCATTGCAAAACAGCTCCTCTGTTGTGTTAAAGAATCCCGCTTTTTTTTTTTTTTTTTTTTTTTCTTTTACTCCCTTTTCAGGAGCAGACTTTTTCTACACTCTGCCTAGGTGTGTACTTGGGACTTAAGACTCTGTCACATATTCATGGCAATCTTTTTGTCTTCTTTCTCATTCATCAGCATGTGAGCAGACTCATTAGATTTGATTTCTGTACATGTGAAGGGTCGGAACAGCACTTGTGTCATTTGGTCCAGCCTGTGAAATTTTCAAAGGAGCCTGAGTGGGAAAAGTCTAAGAGTAACTCTTTGGAAACAAGTCTCAGTGGAATAGTCTGTCTCTGTTGAAACTGCGATGCAGAAAAACTCTGTAATGTACTTTACAGGCAGCGCACACACTAAAACAGCTATTTTGCTTTTTTTGAAAAGTAGGGGTGTATGGGTATCATGTGAATCTTAGTAGTTCTTTCTACAGAGATTTGTTTGTGTCTGTCTTCACAGATCCAGCTCCTGTGCTGGAGGCCTCGCACACCCTGGAGGGAAGGCTGCAGCAGCTTCAGAGTTCGGCCCCAGACAGCGAGGCCCTGGTACGGGAGATCAGCGGGCACTGGAAGAAACACTTGGAGTGCCTTGAAAAGACAGGTCAGGTCAATTTCATACACATGAAGGAGCAACACTGCTTAAATGCTTCTTTTTTTTTTTCTTCATTCAGTGCTCAGATTGTCTGATGTCTGGTGGTGCTGAGCGGTTAATTTAAATGAAAATCGTCTCCTTATGACGAGTATTTCAAATAAGTTTTTGTCAGTTTTCCTGCTTATCATCAGAACACTAGTGGTTAAACTCATGCCGGTCTTTTCCCGCCACACAGAGCCCACAGAGGACGGTCCAGCCGTCTCAGTGGCAGCGGCGACAGGAGAGGCCCCAAAATCCAGCTCTCCGGCCTCCCTGATGACCCCCAACAGCACACCGGCTCCCGGGGCCCCAGGCTCCCCACAGCAGAACTACCAGGACCGAGCTGAGGACCGAGGGTGAGAACCACTGAACATCAATCCTCCGTAAACACCTGTGACATTTAAGATAATCAGGGAAAACCCTTTTAATGTCCTAAATCTTTTTCCAATACATAGTTGTTTTCTGTCGGTTTTTATGCTCATTAAAACAACAATTTCCAACTTTTTTTGATGTTGATGTTTTCTGTCTGTGATCCTGTATTACTTCACAAGAGCAACAGTGGAAAGTAATTCATAAAACTTAACATCAGGGCTGAATGACATGCAAATAAGTAATATTGCAATTATTTTAGCAGATATTGCGATTGCGATATGAGACAAGATTTCAGTTGGAATAATAATTTTTGCATTTCATTTTCACAGAAAATTTTTTTTTTTAAATGATGTGATTTTTTTTTTTTTTTTTTTTTTTTTTTTTTTTGTCGGGGCCTGTACTAAACAAACAAAAATGACATCTGGAGAATATGATTTGTGGGTGTCTCTGCAGCACCACAGTCTTTCATTTTTGGTGTGTTGTGACACATTTGACCTCTATCAAAAAAGTTGCATCTCCTGCATTTTGGATATTGCACTTGGCCATATTGAGATTTCAATAATGTTTTAATAAATTGTTCAGCCCTGCAACACAAATCAAATGTGGCTCCAAAAGGCTGAAACACATCAGCGCTGCTTTTTAAAATTTCAGTTCGTCCTTTGTTTTTCTGCCACATGTCATTTTTAGGTGGGAGGAGGTTTGAACATAACTGTTTTCTGTCTGAAGACATAAAGTTGCATATTGTAGCTTTAATTGTGGTGCCATGATGTAGTAGGGGAGCTGACTGAGTGTCTTCTCTCAGGGAGGAGGAGGAGAGCGCTGATGTTGGTTTGGCTGACAGACTATCAGAGGCTGAGGAGAAGATCAAGGTTCTGCATTCTTGTAAGTAGTTAAAACACTGTCACGTCGTGTATCTGATACATTTAATTTCAACCTATTAAACCACTACATGTATAATTGCAGTCTGGTGCCCCCTGCTGAAACACTGCTGCCCCACTGGTGCTGTGTTTACGTCAATAAAGTTAAATCTAACACATATTTACCGATGGAATCTGTGTTTCACCATATGTAACATTTTAATATCAGTTTTCAGTGGATCCATTGACTGTTACAGACGTCCCTGCAGTAGTTATGTTTCAACTAAATCTGACCTGTATTTTAAATATAGGAAAGATATTAATGTATCTAGAAATTGGTAAATAAATCCAGTAATGTAGCTTTAAGGTCAAAGTTCATGTGTGTGTGTTTTTTTTTTTTAAAGTTAATATCTCACCTCGCTCCGTCTGCTTCTCTCCAGCTTTGAACACTGCACAGACGGAGCTGCTGGACCTGCGGTGTAAATACAACCAGGAGATGACAAAGAAGTAAGAGTCTACTTCAGATTTTACTTTGCACTTTACCACATATATCTGTCGAACTTCTATAAACCCCCCCTTCCACTCCCCAGTCACGGCGGCCATCCCTGCAGCCTTTCTCGCTGGTGCTCTTTGTAGCATTTCAAGTGCTGAAGCTGCTCCCCTTTATTTTGCCTGCATAAACTCATGTCCAGCGCAGAGCTGAGGAATGCCATTGTAAAGGCAGCGAGTGAGAGTGACTCAGCCACTAATGCAGGTCGATGAGAGAGGTCTGTGTTTGCCTTCACTGGCAGCTGGGCCTTGACAGCCCTCAAGAAGAATTGCTCCATTTAAAGATTGCTTCAGAAAACACTCTACCTTGTCCTGGTCTTTGAGCGCAATGTATCCACCGCACGCCTGAAATGAATCTGAGCTTGTATGAAGGATGTCGATAGACATTCAAAGCAAACACTCCTTTGTTTGGGTTGTGCTCCAGAGCACAGTCAGCCGCTGCTAATGGATTTTCTCCCAGGCTTAATCCATGGTGCAATTGAACTGATGTTTCTAGACCCACTGCCATCTATTTTGTTGGATTGGACACCTTTTCAGTTTGGTCTTACCTTTTCGCGTGCAGCAGCAGCAGCTTTCAAAGACCATCTCTGGTTATATAGTTGGTGCGTGTGTGTGTTGTCCTGGTCAAATTCCTCCTGGCTGACAGTAGCACCACTGACCCCAGAGCTCCGGCTGCAGTTACCGTCCCTGACCCCGAGCCTCTGAACACCAGGCTGGCCTCTATTACTCTCACTGACTGTTTCCTCAATGTTGATAAGAAAGACTATTTGTCTGCTTCGGCTTGAGTAGCTGAGCAGGTAATCAATACAAAACATTTTCCGTACTGCACAAGTTCATTAAACGTGGAGCTGACACCTGTTAGTGTTTGCTGTCAGCAGGGCGCCATATATCCTGGCCTTATTGATGGGACCGGGCCATGAGCAAGACCCTCTGAAACCAGGGCTGCACCTCGCAGCACTGATGATCATTAATGCCAAGAATAGGTTTGGTCTGAGACTCAGTGTCTGACTGATTCCTCATCTCACTGTAGAAATATTGGAGGATTGTATTCTGCTTCGGCCGCAGTGATTCTATTGGATTACTAATATTTTGTGTAATCACACAGCCTGATGTGAGACTATAGGAGCAGCTGGGTGTAAACTTGAAAGAAGGTAAAGGTTTGGCTGAATGTAGTTAGTTTAATCTGAATGAAAAAAGTCTAATATATTCTTTGAACATTTTTTCTTTTGGTGAAAAGGACTACTGTGTCCCGAAACTTGAGAAACCTATGTGCATATTTAAATCAATCACAGCATCCTCGTTAATTTATCCTTATCTACCTTTTGAAAATCAGGTCCCATGTGTGCAAAATGAAACTGTTGAACTTCAAACAAACCTCATGAATAATCCTGCTGAGTTCCTGTTTAAATTAGACTACTCTGATTGTTAGATGTATGGAGGCAAGTTGGAGTTCAACCTCAGAAGAGTTCTGAGGATACGAATCAGTACGAGCATATGAATTTACCACTCGGCCAATGAATGGGCAGGGCCGTAGCTGCAGCTGGGGACACGGAGATCATGTCATCTGTGTTGGTCTAGGTGTCTGGATTTTTTAATGAGAGTTTAAATCTACCTTTACACCCACATTACACTTGGTGGGTGTTTAAGGCTGATTAAGATATTTTTAGGCTCAATATCTTAATAGGAATACTGGAGATTAAACCATTTTTTAATGTGGATTTAACATTTCTCCACCTGAATATTCCTGTTCTAGTGAACAAGGCATTGAAACATTTTACAGAAATTATAATTGAACAGTTAAATGAATGAATCAAATTATTATTTTTTTTTTTTTTGTCTAGTGAAATATTCTGAATAGAGGAGTGGTCACACTGCAGGAATGTGGACTCCTGACCTCATTGTTTCTAAAACTATGGCCACAGTTACGTGTTAATCATCAGTTTTTGTTAAGGCCAACAGAAGTGATCATGATTGATATAAATGTGGTGGAAGAAACACGAGAAACCGCTCACAGCATAAAGAGAGTCAATGTGTGAGATTGTTGATTGTCTGTCTGAGCGTAGTGTAAGAGGAGATGTCTTAATTAGTTAACTCCTTTAGCAGAACTATGTGATGATGTGATATCTGCCAATGTGGCTGAAACCTCATGCTTTAGAAAGTAAAAATCATGGTCTCCACACTGAACTCCTTTATTGTCATTCATAAATCAATTTACAAAATATACTTGTTACCATGGAGATGTTGACCATTCGGACGTTTTACAGGATTGTAAAACGTTGTTGGTGATCTCTCTCTATCAGACATGATGCTGTTTTAGTGACCAAGCATGGATACTTATTGTTATAGGAGACACTGAAACAACAGCTGCACAGTGCTGTACAAGTGAAACTCCGTTTCAAGTGAAAATACACTCAGAGTATTTTACATGGGGTTTGTATAGATCCCAATTAGCTATGTAAATTTCCCTGCATGTTATGACAGCTGCAGTAGAGCTATAGTGAGTGGTTCATTGCCTCCCAAACATGTACAGAAGTACAACACAGTGTAGTACTTTTGCCATTTTCTTATATTTGGTTGAAATCAGTTATTATAGGTCATTTTTCCTGTCACAGCTGGCTGGTTTGGTTTAAGCCCTAAAACTCACTGTATTCGAGTTGTGTAAATATATATGGATAAAATAACATCTTGTAGAAGCTACTTTAAGCCATTTAAGAAGTGGTCATGTTTCAGCTTCATGTTTGGATGGATCATGTAATTAACAATCATTGGGGCTGATTTTGTAAGAATGTGTTCTCAGTAATCCTGGGTGTCTCTGTCTCGACGTCTGTGTTCCAGGACAGGGGAGGTCGACGCCATCATGGCCAATCTTGAGAAAGCAAACCAGGTGAGTACAGTCTTCCTCTGCACCTCTCTGATTGAGATGCTCCTTCGTTAAGGTAATCACTCCTGTAATCAAGCCTCGGCTTTAATTAGACACCCTCCGTCCTGTGTCCCCCCCCCTCCCTTCCATTCCTCCCCCTTACACCTCCCCTCCCCTGAGTATGTGATTAGCGAGTGTAAACCTGAGCCCCTGTCGGTGGGCGCGCTATGGCAGCACGGCTCCACTCAGCAGAGAACAGGAGACTGCCGTGCACGATTGATGCCGGAGCGGTGAACGCCAGGGTTCTTAGTTATCTCATTGCCTTGATTGCTTCCTATCCTGGTGATGCCTCTTTTCTTCTGCTCCTTTCTTCTCCCCTCTGCTTTTCTCTCTCACACTCTTTTTCTCACTCTGCTGCTCTCTGCCAGCAGCTCCCAGATAAATGTTCTCAAAATGAATCATTAATTAGCAGGCCGGGTGTGACAGAGCAGGTAAACAGTTTGGGGAATAAAGTGGGCCGACTAAACAGTCCCCTCAGCAGAAAAAACCTGAGGCCGCTCGGGGGCCCCTGATCAGATTTTGCTCAGTTTTAAAATTTCAGAGAAAGGGTGCCTCCTTTGATTTATGTATATGCTCTAATCTTGATCACCTCATCAGCCAATTGGTGTGGCTGGTGTATGAAAACTGTAACTCTTGTGATGCTCTGTGTCTGTGCACAGAGAGCGGAGATGGCTCAGAGGGAAGTGGAGAGGCTAAAGGAGCAGTTAGCCAGTGGCCAGAGCGCCACCACAGGGAGCTGCCATCCAGCAGAGGGCACTAGCAGGGTAAGGATACTGTGACGTCATGTGTGAAGTACTTGTTTACTGGGATGTAACAGTTAGCTCTCGAGTAGTAATTGAGTTCAGTTTACTGTACTGGTGTTCTTCCATTAGACGCTGCTTTGCTCCACCACGTTTCATGGAAACATATTGTTCTTTTTACTCCACTACAATTATTAAACAGCTATAATACACATACATGTATATGTATGTGTATATATATACATATGTGTGTGTGTGTGTGTATATATGTATATATGTGTGTGTATATATGTATATATGTGTGTGTATATGTGTGTGTGTGTGTGTATATGTATACTAGTTACTTTGCAAATTTAACGTACAAATGGATTTTAAACACAAAACATATGAACAATTTCAAAATGTTATGCATTGTTAATAATAACGCACCCAACAGCATGTAACGCAGCTCCAATAGCTCCCTGACGACCAGCTACAATATTAAAGTTCTGCTTACGTTTTGTGAAGCATATTTTTTTAATCGTGATGCTACTTTACTTTTTAAGTAAAGGATCTTTAAACACCACTATGATGCTTTTTTACTTCTCGGATACCAAGTCATTGTTGCCTTGGTAATTTGTGGTTTACTTCCCAAAGATAACCTGTTAGTGAACAATGCATTTGCCTCTGTGATGTCTTTTCCCTCAGATTTTCTTTCAAAGTTGAAGTTGCTATAGGTGATGCACTTCTCCTTATCAGACAATCGAAAATACAAGTTATTCTTAGATGGAGATGTTATTCATGGACCTATATGCACATAGCTCCACATATGCAAAAAAACTACATCAAAATTAATTAAACATTAACATCAACATCAACATCCATTACCCAGTATTGAACAAGAAATATGGACAAATACATAAACAAACGCTGGAAAATTAGCAGTAACTGTATCAATTATAATGTTTAAACATTTAACAAGTGTTGATATTATGTTTTAGAAATTGACAGTACCTTTTACTTACTGTGTTTCTATCCTTATCTTTATATATTAGTTTGTCATTGTTTTGATGTCACTTTGATCACCTGTCAGACAGTACAAGGTCTGAAAACACAATCAGGAAATTTGTAAATTATGACCTCCACACCAAAATTTAGACAGACATTTGTTTTAATTGGTATAGAAATATTTGATCTAACCCCTAATTATCAGATCCAATCACATGAATGAAAATATAGTATTGATTGTTACCTCATCATCTTTGTCAAAGTCAAATTCTCCCCACACTGCAGAGATTGTGTTTCACTGGCTGCCCTCTTACATTTTCTCTCCTCCTCGCTCCCTTCATCACTTTTTTTCTTCCCTCTCACACCCCTCGTCACTTCTCCTTCTCACCCTGTCAGGAGAAGAACGAGAAGGGAGAGGTGTTGCCCTCCCAGTTGGAGGCCGCCTTGCTGGCTAAAGACCGCGAAATCCTTCGTCTTCTTGAAAACATTCAGCGGCTGCAGTTCACACTACAGGAAGTTCAGGAGACGTCGGCCAATCAGATCCTGGAGCTGGAACGCCAGCTGGCCTATAAAACAGAAGCTATTGAGGTGAGCGGTTCTGACACATGAGAAGTGACAGCACATGACAAACACTTCCTCGGTCCTCAGCTGCTCTGATAATTAACAATACGCTAATTGATATGAAATAAAACGTGCTTCTTCTTCTTCTTGTTCCATTTCAGAGATTAGAAGCTAAACTGCAATCCCAGATTGACTATGAAGAGATTAAAACTGAACTCAGGTGATAATTTGTTGTAGAGTGAATGTGCAACTCATTCATAAAAATATGACTTTCAATCCAAAAACCTTGACTTTCTGTGCATGTTTGTTTCTCTCTGCAGTATCCTAAAGGTAATGAAGCTGGCCTCGGCAAATGGCGGCTCTTCTCAGGTACACATGCTCCTGCACCACCTCATTGTTCACGCAGCAGGTTTAAACACACAAGTCTCCTTTTTTGGCAAATAGGAGTTTTGGTTTCTTCTTAATGTTCTCTTGGTGTCAGGGAAGAAAAACTACAGCAGTGCCATTGAATGCTTCACTGATCGTCATCCATTATAAGGTTATCTGCAGCTGCTGTAATTGATTAATCGAAAATTAACAGCTCTTGTGTGCGTGTGTGTTTGTGTGTATAGGAGTCTGCCAAGGCTGCAGAGGCTCTTCTGCTGGATAAAGAGGCTTTTCTTCCATCTCACAAGTACCTGGTGGATAAGGCTCGGATTTTGCACAGCAATGGTAAAATAAATGTCTCTCATGTTTCAGGTTCTGTCTATAACTCCAAGTTTAAATAGTTTAAATTTCAAGGTTGTGGAGTTTCAAGAGGTAGCGAGTTTTGTCATCTTCTAAAAACTCCCCGTAGCTCGCTGATTACTTGGTGCTCATTGGTCAGGCTCAATCGATTTCTGGAGTCAATGTTTTCCAGAGTCAAGTCTCTTTGCATAAACTGAGCCTGCATGTTGCAGTCTGGGTTTGCAGGGCTAGAGAATGAGAATGTGTTTTCTCTCACCAGATGATGACCAGTCTGAGGATGCAGGAAGGGAGACAGGCAGACCGCCCGGCTCCCACTCGTCCTCCTCTCAGGTGGACGGCCGAGCCTCCCCCAGCCCTGGCCCCCCCACCCTAGACAGCTCCTCCTCCAGCCACGATCTCCCCCGTCCCTTCTCTGTGTCCCCGTGCTCCGGGGACCGACTGTCAGGAGACCACATCCTTCACAAGCAGCTCCTCTCCCCACACTTTAAAAAGGAGGGCCTCATGGCTTTTCCCACCGCCCTCTATGCAGCCAAAGTTGCCCTCATGTCAGCGACTCAAGGGTCTGCGGGGGCAGGCAGCGTTGATGCTGGCTTGCCCAGTGACCAGTCAGAAAGCGGCAGCTCAACCGCAGGAGATGAGGACCAACTGGACACGGCCGAGATCGCCTTCCAGGTGAAGGAGCAGCTGCTCAAGCATAACATTGGCCAGCGTGTGTTTGGCCACTATGTGCTGGGCCTCTCCCAGGGCTCGGTCAGTGAGATCCTGGCAAGACCCAAACCCTGGAGGAAGCTGACTGTGAAAGGCAAAGAACCTTTTATTAAGATGAAGCAGTTCCTGTCTGATGAACAGAACATCCTGGCACTTCGAACCATCCAGGTCCGCCAGAGAGGTGAGTGGGAGAGACAGTGACAGGACAGGGAATGTGCAGCACAGACCAAAAAGGGGAAAGTAGCATGAGTTAACAAGTTGCTCAGATTTGAAACAAGTCTCCTTCTTAACAGCATTTTCTAAACCACTGGCTTGGAATTGAAAGCCGGTATGAATTAAGTGTCTGTGAAGTGTCATTCATATTCATCCACTGCCTTCATCTGCAATGACAGTTAAAGCAAAAGGCTGGAGATATTTTACATTTTTCTTATTGTCAACAAAAAACCCCCAAAAAAATCAAAACCAACCATGAATTTATCCGACTAACATGTAAAACCTCTGTGGACAAAGCCTGACGTATCTTACTCCTCTGTGACATGAAGTCTAAAAACATCTGTAAATGGTTCCAGTCTGATCCACCTACAGCGGATAACTGGTTTAAACCATCAAAGAGAAATGATTTGTATATGGCAAGATGGATGAAATGGATTATATACTGTATATGTTGGAGTAGTAAGCGTGATTGTTCTTGTGCCACTTTCCACTATCATTTACCCTTTTCCTTTAGTTGTATGCTTTGTGTAAAATACGTTAAACATGCTCAGCAAAGCAAAACTCAGTAAAGACTGTCCATAATATATAGTGTTTGTTATATAGCTGACACGTTGCCCGGCAACAGTGTTGTTTTTTCTTCTGTTGTCATTGACATAAAAAAGATTTTCTAATATATTTTGAATATTTGAAAAACACAAACATCAGTGTGAATACCAGAGCACTGGGTAACATGTTCCTTCATTGCCATGAACATTTACCATTTTGAGTAAAAAAAAAAAACACTACGGTGCCCAGCAGGAAATTATTGACTTTTTTTAAAAATGAAACTCTACATTTATCACACCATTAAAAAAACAAAACAAAACAGAATTATATCTTCAGTAGGAATGAATGGACTTGGTTTTTGTTGACAAGAAGAAAAATAAAGAATAGCGCCGGCCTTGTGCTTTCAGTAGAGCAGGTTAAAGAGAATCAGCAAGTAGTTCAGTATAAACCAATGATCATCAACAACCAATGATTAAGGTAACTTCAGCCCTCACCTTTGTTTGGTCTCGAAACTAATGGTTTGAATAACCTGCTTAAACTGGTGTCACCATATTTGTCCAAAGCTGCACAAATAAGAACCAAGATGTTTTACAAAAAATTCTATTGAGAGTGTTTAAGGCATTCGAGAGTATATGAAGCTGTGATGTACCAGTAACCTTTTTGAGCGGCCGTAATCACGCCGTCTTGTTTTGGTGGCTTAGCTGTTGGACCTGTGTGCGTTTAAACCTTCTAATCTACTTGGACCTCATCCTTGACTCTTCTCGGCTTCCTCTGCCATGTTTGTAGTGTTACTTTTAAACTTTGTTTTCTCCCTAGATTCACAGCTTTTGAAAGTTGAGCTTCCCGTATACTGCAACCTCAGACAGCACGCGCTCAAAGGCAGCCATTGATCTACCAGTCAAAAGCAAAGCCTTGGAACTGCTCTCTGATCAACCATCCCACTCACCCCCCTCCTCTCTCCTCTCGCTCTATCTCTATCTCTTTCTGTTACCCTCTGTGGCAGGGAGCATCACTCCGCGCATCCGAACTCCTGAAACTGGGTCAGACGACGCCATTAGGAATATCCTGGAGCAGGCCAAGAAAGAGATCCAGTCCCAGAGGGGAGGTGAGGATGGAGCTGTGAATCATAAGTCATAGCTGAAAGCCATATTGATTTATTTATTTTTTTTAATTGATAGTGATGTTCAGTTTTTATTAACCATTTTGATCACTACTTTAATGCATCTGAAGTGGAAAGGTGATTTGAGTGCTGATCAGTGTCAACATGTGGGTCTTTCTTAATCAGGTGACGGCAAGTCGTCTCTGAGCAGCTCATCAGGCAGAAGCAGTAACGGAGCAGGCAGCAGCTCTGATGAAACCATAAAGAACATCCTAGAACAGGCCAGGAGGGAGATGGAGGCCCAGCAGCATGCCCTGATGGAGATGGAGGCCTGCGGGAGGGCCTCGACTGCCAGTTCTGGAGCACAGGTGGAACGTCTGGGGCCCCCAGAGCGCTCCAGGGGCCTGCCTTTACCCATCTCCATCAAACAGGAGGAAGGTGGCTGTGTTACCGTGTGCATGGCCAACCCCATCAGCAGCCCCCAAACACCCCTCAGTGTGCTCTCCCCAGCCGCCTTCGTCCAGAACATCATCCGTAAAGTCAAGTCAGAGATCGGTGAGGCGGGCACCTACTTCGATCAGCACTGGTCACAGGAGCGGGGGTCGATTGGGCTCAGTGGCGGAGGTAGCTCTCTGCCCTTCAATTCGGTCTCTCCTTCCTTGTCTTCCTCCTCCTCTGGGCCCTCCGCCTTGCCCCGGCCATGGCCCCGTCTGGAGAACGGCGAGTGTCTCCCCAACAGCGAAGAGGCCTCTGCTGCCGAGGACGAGCTGGGGCTCGGCCGGCCAGTGGAGGTGAAGGTGGAGTCAGACACGTCTATAAGCGGCGAGTCCCCAGGACCTGGCCCGGGACGTCTATCCTACTACCCAGCGTACATTCCCCGCGCCCTCAAGCCCACCGTGCCGCCGCTGACCCCAGAGCAGTATGAGATGTACATGTACCGAGAGGTGGACACCATCGAGCTGACCAGGCAGGTGAAGGAGAAGCTGGCAAAGAACGGCATCTGTCAGAGGATCTTTGGAGAAAAGGTCAGATGAGAATATAGATGCACCACATATACGAGTGACAGTGTTTGTGACTATAGCAAATAAGTATCCGCCACCCTCCTGTTTTCCTGTATCATCCCACATATGGTTTCAGATCTTAAGACAATGTGAAACATTAGACTAAAGTAACCTAAGTAAACACATAAAACATTTTCATTATTTCAGTAAATAAAGTAGCCTAATCAACCATTCAAATCATCGTGGTGAAAAAGTAATTGGCTCTTTTAAAAAGGTAATAACAGGTCCCACCACTTCTGCAGCAATAACTGCAGCCCGAAGCTTCTTGTAATTTCATAATAGTGTTTCACATCACCTGCTCTTTATGGAGAAAGATACATTTGTAGGCTTTCTTGTGCGCCGGCTGCTTCAGTCCCATGACTGCATCGCTGAGCTCAAGTCAAGATGTTGTCAAGGCCACTCTAAAACTTTAATTTTTGTTTTCAGCCTTTCAGATCTATTAGCTCTTGGGCAGATGACTGGACTCATCCCTTTTAGAAGTGTTTGGCACTGAGCAGAGGTCATGTTTCCCATATCCCCACACCGCCACACTACAGCCTTCACATTTAACTGTTGCTTCTGGTACAGCTCTGCAGAGGTATCCCAGCCCTATAGTAAAATGCTGTATTTGCTTTACACCACGTATATTAGAACCTGTGTCGTCTGAGATGTTCCGCTTTTTACTATTCTCTGCACAGAACATAATCCTAAAAGCCTTCATGTGCTTCTCTGTAAATGTGAGAGAGCTATTTTTCACATCTCTTTCTTATTGTGGAGAGCCATCAACACCGGACAGTGTTGATAGCTGAGAGTTGGATGTTTAGCCGTGATCCTTTATGACTTCCTGGATGAGTTGTAGCTGCTCTCTTGGAGAGCCTTTGGGAGGCTGACCACATGTTTTACCATCCCACAGTATCCTCCATGTAGACATCCCTCCCTGTGGTTTGGTGGTTTTGTGAGCAGATTTCAACAGCTCTTCTCTTCTGGAATTTCCTTTGTGGCACAATGTGCTTGTATGAATTTAATGGTGATTAGTTGCTGTGGTGAGATTGATGGTGAGATTCATTATAAGTGTTGAACTGTCGGTCTTTGTTCAAACATCTGCATCGAGTTCTCAGCAGAATGTGGTTGATTGAGTAACGAAGAGCAAATACTTTTTAAAGTCAGTGTTGGTTAAGTTTGTTCCTTAAATTAATGAAGTCAAGGAAAGAAGATATTAATGTTCATAAGAAGGTATTTTATTTGCATTTTTTACCTTCCTGCTGTATGTCAATCCGAAAATGAGCTTTTATTTCCAGAGAATCCCTCTGGGTGTTTTCCCGGGTTCCTCTGTGATTTGTCAGAGTTTGTTCTCCGTGAAGTGGATAAAATACAACAGATTTCATGATATAAATTTGAGATCTTGGTGATATAAAAGGTTCAAGTCTTGATTGTCCAGCTCATACCTTTCAGTTGGGGATTCATTTTTAAAAATACTTTGTCTTTAAAATATTCTTAAACTTAGTTCCATTAAGGCATAAATTTGGTTTTTCAATAAAATCAAGTTTGTGTGTTGAGTTTTTTTTTTTTTTTTTCAAAAAATAAAAAGAATAAGAAAGAAAAATAAAACATTTGCCTTTATAAAGGTTCCATGTTGATCTATGACCACACATATTTTATGAGTAAATTACATCAAAGTCAATCATCAGTACAAATCATAACGTGACGGTTTAAAATGATCAGTGGATAAGCTCTTAATCACCTCCATGAAATGTGCTGAAAGTCGAACTTAAATGCTGTATTAGAGCAAAGTCAACATAAACATTTATAGTGTGTTGCTTCCCTCTAGTGGTTGTTTGCTGAAAGTGTATCAATGAGGCCGTGACTGCGGTTGAAAAGTCTTTTTTTTTTTTCCTTAGGAAGGTTGCTAACCGAGTTAAATGACGTGGAAGTATCTAAGTGACAGCGATGATAAGAGCTGGTCCAATTCTCTAATTATTAAGGAAAGGAGCTTCAATGCTTCCTATCTTATCACCTTTAGTATAGGAAACACTGGACCTTCTGTTACGAAAGAAAAGGAGAAAATGCCTTCCCACAATTCCTTGCTGCACCAACATTTCACCACGGCAGACCCACGTAAATGTAGAAACATCAGAGCACCTATTCTACACTTGTGACACGATCCAAAACCTATGGAAATCCTTGTGGGACTGGCTGAGCTCCAAATCCATAAATATAGAATTCTTCATCCATATGTTATAAATAAAGTTGGTTTAAAAAAAATCCCAGTGTAAGTGCAGTCAGATTCTCTCAACACTGCGATTGTCTTTTCCTAAGTCCTTATATAAATTCTCCTTCACATCTTTCCTTGACCTCATGACGTTTTTCATCGAGGTCGAGGAAACGTGGCGAGGAAAGGAGATTATTTTGCCTTTTCGACCACCGACTATATGTCGAAAAGGACTTCCCTCTTTCAGGATAATAACATGGAAAACCAGTCATGTGCCATTTATACATTCATTGTCTGTAATGGTACATATAGTTTTTTTTAGTCACGATATAATGTATTAACCTGTGATTGTATGGCACAGGTGCTGGGGCTTTCTCAGGGCAGCGTGAGCGACATGCTGTCTCGGCCCAAACCCTGGAGCAAACTGACCCAGAAAGGCAGGGAGCCCTTCATCCGCATGCAGCTGTGGTTACTGGACCAGCTAGGCCAGAGCCTCAACCAGACCCCAAACCAGGGCCATGCTCAGGGTAAGACTGCAGTTTGTAACATACTCACCTCCACAGGAATGGACAAGCAGGAATCCTCCTTAAGATGCTGCATTACCAAAATACAACATTTGAAAAACAACAATTGAAACAATTCACAGCAGTAGTTCACTCTGCATACAGCAGGACTTCTTACTGTTTTTCTGTGTTGCCTCCCACCTCCAGATAAAAGCCCAGTGACCACCCAATCCTCACCCTCCCCGCCCCCCAGCCCAGCGGAAAGCCACTCAAGTCCACTGGTTGAGCCTGTCAGTCTCTCCCTGGAGAGCAGCAAAGAGAACCAGCAGCCTGAGAGCCTCGGGCTGGGGCTGCCCCCCCATTCAGAGGGAGGGAAATCCACTCCCAGCCTCATGGCCCTGCATCAGCCCACAAACCCACTGGGCATCCAGGAGTTGGTGGCCATGTCTCCTGAGCTGGACACCTATGCCATCACCAAGAAGGTCAAGGAGGTGCTAACAGACAACAACCTAGGTGTGTATGAGTTCACACTGTGGGGTTAAGCTGACACTCCAGACACAGACAGACAGACACAACTCCTACAGACAAATTCAAATACAAAGGTGCTTTATTGGCCAGAAAGTTTCACAATGTTGCCAAAGCATCAAAATACAATTTAGCCAAGTACACAATAACACAACACCACCGAGGTCAACATGCATATATTTATTGATGTTAATTATATATTTACAGTATATTTTGTGTATGTGTGTGTGTGTGTGTGTGTGTGTAGGTCATTCACTGTCCCTCAGGTTGTGAAATGTTGATATGCAGTGCTTTTGTCTCCTCACAGGCCAGCGTCTTTTCGGGGAAACCATCCTGGGTCTGACTCAGGGTTCTGTGTCGGACCTGCTCTCCAGGCCCAAACCTTGGCACAAACTCAGCCTGAAAGGCAGGGAGCCGTTTGTCCGCATGCAGCTGTGGCTCAATGATCCTCACAATGTGGACAAGCTGAGGGCTATGAAGAAGATGGAGAAGAAAGGTGTGTATAGTAATGATAGTAATAATCTTTCAATACGGGTTTGATAAATTGTTGGTGTTTTGTAATTCCTTTAAGCCAGATCTGACTGTCTCCCCTCTAGCCTATCTGAAAAGGAGGTATGGGCTGCTGAGCACCGGCTCGGACAGCGACTCACCCAGTACTCGCTCCGAGTGTGTGAGTCCGGCCTTGGTCTCTCTGGACCTGTGCCCCTACAGCCAGGTGAAGAAGCCTCGGGTGGTGCTGGGAGCTGAGGAGAAAGAAGCCCTGAGGAAGGCCTACCTGCTGGAGCCCTACCCTTCTCAGAACACCATCGAGATGCTGGCCTCCCAGCTCAACCTCAAAACCAACACTGTCATCAACTGGTTCCACAACTACAGGCCAGTGCAATGACCTTTGTGACCTTTGCTAATGGCTGCCTCTGCTGTTTTCAATACTGCTATACACTTACTTTAAGCTGAAGCTGAATGCCTGAAATGTAAACTGGAAAAGTAAACTTAAATCTCCTGACACTCAAGTGTTTGCCTTTAAGAGCCTGTCTAACGAGCAGTGTTTGTGTGCAGGTCCAGGATGCGACGGGAGGTGCTGATGGAGGGTCTGCCAGACAATGACACAGATGCTGAGCACCACAGCTACTCACCCTCAGTGACGCGGAGCCCCCACTCTGATGGAGAGGAGAGGAGGCTGCAGAAGCCCTCAGGACACATCCACTCCAGCCTTCCTCTTAACGCCAACACCGCACTGCCTCATGTCAAACAGGAGGCAGTAGACAGGGAAGACGAGGGGGAGGAGGGAAAGGAGGGCTCCATTAAACAGTCGAGAGTTCAGTGTTTTTCCACAGCAGTACAATTCCCACAGCTGAAAACTGAGCACGAGGACTCCATCGCTGGCTGTCGTGAGACCCATTTGGCCGGTCAGAGCCTGAGGCACGACGAGGGGATGAGCAGCCAAGCTCAAGGGCTGTACCCTGGTGCAGTGTCCATAGATGGACCCCAAAGAGCCAATCAGTCCAGGCACGAGGGGGAAGACGCAGGAAAGTCACCTGTTGACCCGGTCAGCTTCAAGGCTTCGTCAGAGCCCTGCCGCAGCAGCCTGGAAGTCTCCCTGAACTCCCCCTCTGCTGCATCCTCACCCGGCCTCATGATGTCAGTCTCCCCCGTCCCTTCTTCCTCTGCTCCCATATCGCCCTCGCTGCCCAACCCGCCCTCAACGAGCACCAATCACAGCCTGGACCCTAACCAGATCCCTCCCTTCCAAAGCCCCAAACTCAACAGAAGCACTCAGAGACGCAATGAGAAAATGGCCAACCTCAATAACATCATCCACAGGCTAGAGAGAGCAGCCAATCGAGAAGAAACACTGGAATGGGAGTTCTAAGCCCCCCTTTTACCTGTATCTAGTCCTGATGACCCTCGCGGCACACAGGAGCGTCTCAGATAGAATCTTCCTGAAGACTTTGAACGGAGCCTGGCTCCTGAAGGCCTGTCCTCTCAGACTGATAACTCATAGGAAACGGGAACACAGAGCTGAACACGAGGCTGAATTCCCTGCAAGAACTAAAAAGTTGAAAAAAAAAAAAGGTTTATAAATGTGTATTTGTTTTTTTGTTTTTGTTTTTGATAATGCATACTACTTTGAAATATATGTGACAGCATTAGCTGTTGTTTTACCTTTTGGACTTGACATGAAGACTTTTGCAGCTATGGTGTCATAAAATGTACACTGAAGTTCTGTAGATTGCCACTGGGTGAGATTAAAAAAAGACCCCTGTCTTAAGCCATTAAAGCACTATAACTATTTGAAAAGAGACATTGACCAAATTTGCTACTTTTTGAATAGCAATTTTTCAGATTTTGTCTGTAAGACTGGACAGTTTAAGTCAAGTAACATGAAATCCTATTACTGACTGAGGGATAGTCCTTTAAGACTCTAAATATTCAACATCTTGTATGTACTTAGTTTCTTGGTGATATGTTTTGAAATATTTGTAACTCACACGTATAAAATGTGGTTGTACATGTTATAGAATTGTCTGCAATAGCCTTCTCTAAACCTGATGTAGCATGGTACTCACCTGACCCTGTTATCCTCTGTAGTTAGTCACCTGTGATTATACTTGAGCGAAAACAAGAGAAAAAAAGTTGAAAACCCTGCAAAAAATAAGAAAAAAGTAAACGTTAAATCTAATAAGTAGAGTACTTTTAGTGTTTTTGTTTTCTTTTTTTGAATAATCCTTGAGGTTTACAGTTTAGGGCCCTTGTGCTTTTGGTAGTAAGTGAAACATTCACTACACATGAGCACAGTTTACACAATTACTTTCAGACTTACCTCTCTGACCCTCTTAAGGCACTGGTTCTCAGACTGTAACGGGCCAAGACACAGGACACCTGTTTTACCTCAGATTATGTTGATGCACATCATGCTATGACCATGCGTTTCATTCTTATACATGAACATGACCCACGCTTATTTGAATCAATGGAGGGGAAAGTACTTGTATCACGCCTCAGACGTGCAGAGATCAAATGCGAGTTTTAAGGAGTAAAATCTGTCTTTTACAAAGAAAATGCTGCTGTTTGAAGACATAATAATTCCTGTGTATTGTGCTCCTCCTCACTTGATTGGGTGCACTTTCTCAAAATGCATCAAGTACTGTAGCTAGAATAATATGTACTTGATCAAACACCTCAAGCTCTGTGTACTGAGATGGTGTTCGGCTGGGCAATTGGATAAGAAATGGTTGCCAGGAGTGACACTTGATACACACAGTATGACCTCTCATCAACATGAAAACATTCAATCTGTAAGTAGGATATATTCAAGGACACAAAAAGCTACAGGTATCCCCTCATATTATCTTTGACCACTTGTGTATTGTGTCTGTAGAAGTTTCTTTGTCATGCTTGCGAGATGTTCTTTATGTATTTTTCCTCTATTTTATACTCAGAACAGTTAACTAGATATTCAATACCTCGTGTATGAACTACTTACGGCACTTAGATTTTGATAATTGTGAGGACTCAAGAAAATTTCAAATATCAACATTATCCTAACTTAGTGTCCACAAGTCTTTGCCTTTACTGTATCGTTGAAGTTGGTAGTAAACACTTGCACATGTCTACATAGTTCAGAGGACTTGGATTGTATTATGTAGAGATATATATTACACATTTACTAAAAAAAAAAAATATCTTACATTCTTGGAACAAAATGTGCTGATTATATTGAAATAGAGTGTACAGATTTAATAAACCAAACCCATTCAAGCCAGTTCTGGTCTGGCAAGCTTGCCCACGTTTTAGACCTTCTCTCAGGGTAGTCTTGCTTTTTAAAGCTTTACTGAAACAGTTGCTCTCATCAGTGGTGGTGACTATGATAAACATTATGTGGTGTAGAGAATGACTCCATTATATATTAAATGGGCCTGTGGAAGTTGTAAGTATACGGGAAATGCAACTTTCACAGAAAGCAGTGGTTTGGTGGAGAGTTGTTGCTGTTTTGTAATTCATTACACAGATGTGTCAAAGTACAGTGTAGATTGGAACTACCAGGATGAGGCTAATGGGTTGCATTTTTGAGATCAGTAGACTGCTCTCTAAGATACTGTTCTTGTTTTCTCTCGGAGCCACAGATTTTTCTCTGGTTTTCGTACCACCATTTTTTGTGCATAATATACTGTATGATTAGAAGTGACATTTCTTTCATTGAAATTTCATTGTCTTTCATGGTAACATGGGCATATGATTGAAAAAGAAATGTATTTACCCAGACCATTATCTCTTCATGTAAAGCTCATCTCATTGTTTTGCATGCAAAACCATTCTGGTCACATGACAAGGGATAGACTGCGTTTTTGTGTTGTTGTTCTTGCACAGGGACATTGACTCAGCACTTAAAGTCTTTTTACATTAGTGAAGTCCATGCATGATGCGGCTGATAAATTTGGCTCTCACAAAGCCATCATGAATCCAGTCAAATCAAAACCCAAAAACAACCCAGTAAACATTACTTCCAGGTAAATATTTAAATCAAGATTATTTTGTGCCATATCGTATGCCTCATGCATTATCCTCACAGGAGAAATGCCTTGTGGTAATGTGTGATCTAAGAGGGGTGTGGGCCGTTTTGTCACCAGGTTCAGAAAAAAGCAAAGCTTTTTGTAATAGCCCTACACATTAGATGGTTTTATTTTATAATTGACATTTGTCACTAAATAATGAGGTAATTGGTCAGCAAAATTTGAATGGTTGCATTCAGAGCTGTTAGTAAAGAAACCACTTTACAATCTGACACTAAGGGTTTGTCACAAAGAAAATATTTCATTTGAAAGTCAGCTGTGAGCCAATAAAGAGAAGTGTCCTGCAGGCTTAAATATCTGTCTAAAGCCTCACATGTCAGGCTATTAAATGTTTAAGAATGGACAAAAGTATGCCAAGCGTCTTGGAATTGAATTTGCATATGTAAGCCATCATTCAATACATAATTGTTTAAGACCCTGCTGTGTTGTGTTTTTATTTCTTTATGGTGAGGAATGACCACCCTTGGAGGTCTGCCACATGTACACACAGTACAGATTAATTAATGCAAACAAATTCATAAACGTACTGTAATGTGTATTGTATGAATCCAAAACAGCGCTTGTTATAACCTTAACTATCTGGAACACTTAGTCATTTTCACATTTGCTTCATTAACTGCTTTTCGATCATTCATGTCCATTATATTCAGTAATTACATCAGTTATTCGGGCAGCCTACGGCGCACTGTTTACATGATAGTACCGCGTGGTGTGTATGAGCCCCTCCCCCGCCTAGAGTACCGCTCTGACGCAATGACGTCACATATCACGTAGGTTGTTGGGCTGGAGAATTCGCTGCGATGGCGACGACGGCTCTCTGCTGGAAAGGGACGCAGTGAAGCTGGCCTCGGCTCGGATATGACTAATGTTTATTTGATCGAGGTTTATTTGCTGCTTAGTAATTGCACGGGCTTCGGATGAATCTTCGGCTTCTTACTTCTCATCACTCCTTTGACTGGTGAGTCCGCCGGTTGTGGTCGTTCCTTGGTGTGTTTTGACAGAGGCCTCCTTTTTGGGGTCCGCCCTCCATCTCATAACAACAAAAACAGAGAGCTGCGCTAGCTCAGCCAGCTAATGTTAGCTAGCCGCTGTTCTGACTGGACTGTGTTACAGCTACTAATGGCAAACACGCAATACTATGAGATTGCAATACAACAGCACACTGCTTATAAGTAAATGTTAATGTCCGCTGCTTACAATTCACATATCCACTTTGGGCTAAGCGTTAGCTTGCGAGCATTTCTTTATTGACGTGTTATTCTTGATTAACTATTAACGTTAGCTAGCTGCAGAAGATCTAGCTTAACGTTACCCAAAGAGAAGGAAGGGCTAAAGCAACGGTAGCTAGCTAATTACTTTTGTCTATTGACATGGGTTGTTATATATCTGACAAACCTGTTTGAATAACTGACGTGTTGGCGTCTGACTTTTTTGTTGGTGTGGATGGTTTCGCCATAGTTGTTAATGTTAAGTTGCAGAGCACTTAGCTTGCTAGCACTCATTGTAACACTACAATTCAGGAGTGTTTGGGTTTTGGATAACGATAGCTTATTTTGAGATGTCCACGTTACATTCAACTAGGTAACGCGAAATATCATTAATGCTTTAGTAATATTTTAATTGCTTCGCGAAACCATGGCCCTAACTCCATGGCCCTAACTTTCAGCTAGCGGAATTTGATTTTTCCAGACACAAAATTAGCAGACATGTATGCTTCTATGTGATCCTTAATCCTGTAGTGCCATTGTTAACTTTAGTATTGCTACCTGGCCGTCAACGTAGTCAAGCTGTCTGTCAGTCTTTGCAGTCCATCGTCTCAGTCAGTATTTCTGTTTGAAGCTAGCTAGTAATAGTTAAAGAGATCGGGGCTGTTTGCCCGATATTGTTGCCCCCTGTGATGCATTGTGGCCGGTCACGGGATAGGAGTAACGTTAAGGCTCTAAGGGGCTTAGCCTTCTCTGTGTGACTCTGAACTAAGAGCCAGACTGAGCCGTAGCCACGGGTCATGAGCCTGCTGCGGTAAACAGAGACGTGTGCGTGTGGCAGATATGCTTTATCAGGTAGCACCAGCAGTAAAAGCAGGGCTCCTCGACCAGTGAGGTAATGACCCCCCCTCTGCTGCTTCTCACCACTCTCCACGACCAGGCGGTGCTGAGGGCCTCTGCTGCCGGTCATGCAATGAGATTTTTGTCTTCTTTCTGGCCTTTTGCATCTTAAATGTGCCTGAGGAGGTGTGTTGAGGTCTTGAGCAGCTCATTCACTGACCTTCTCAGATCAGATTTCAGGCTCTGCAAGAGCAGCTGACCTTTACAACTATTTGTGGGCCTGTATGCTGATAGATCTCTAACAGGTTCCTTGTTTTGAAGAGAGACATTTAATATTGCTTCCAGGCACCATCTGTGTAAAGATAGTTTACCATTACCTGAACAAAAAGTTGGTATCTGTTCATGTTCTTGGTGAATGACATACTCTCATTTCTGTTGTAAACTATACAGGAAAGTAAAACCACCTACTAGCCAAGTGCTGTGAAATATCTGGATCTGCCATGTATGTGTGCCTGACCAGCCATTTGGGCAGGTAACCAAACATCGTTGGGTAGTTTGACCAGTCTTACCTTACAGTGGATTGATTAACCTCAAAATGTAGCAGCAGGGGTTTTAATTTGAAAATACATATGGTGTATTTCTGAAGGTGACCATTAGATGATCAGCCCACGTGACTGAACCATGTCTTTATGCCGGCTAGACTGTTTAGTGCTTCAAGATCCAGCTAGCTTTTTTTTCCATTCCACAACTGAGTTTAAGTGGTATCTCTGAGCTCACATGCAAGCCACTGTGACCACCAGTACAGCTATATTTGCCAGGGAATCAAAAGAGCTTCTGTAGCTTGAATGTCTCAGTGAAAAAGTCTGCTGTTTGTAAAATAGAGACAAGTTTATGGGGAAAAGCATTTGCTCATTATTCAATTGCATGTTTGCCTTCATTTCCGCAGATTTCCATGTCTTATTTGTGAGAGTTTCCAAACAGGATCACCAGGACTGCTCATCATCCATTACTGATTGTCTGTGGTAAGTCTAAATGATATATTACATCACTATTCTTATGTGACATTTTTAGGCATTTGCTGTTTCTTTGACTGTGGCCACCAGAACATTTGTCCCCCTTTACTAAATGTAATGGAACTAATTGACTATAAGCTTTACCGAAGGCCACAAGCCTGCTGTTGCCGGCCAAGCCTTCCCTTGTAGTGCCATTTCATGTGGAATTGATTTTCTATCGAATGTTTTGAACATGACTGCCCTACCAGGGGCTCACAGTCTCCTGGTCAATCATGGGCTACAGTTAGTCTTTGTTGCCTAGATGCATTTCCTGAGAAGGTATTTACAAATCCTGATGTTTACATACAACATCACAAACACAGTTTGCTACTCCGGCCTACATTGTCTTTCTTGTGAGTTTCTTGAAAATCTGTTCACATTCAATCTAAATAAATCCAACACAAGCACTGCAAATTAATGTAGAAAAAAAGGATGCTAGTGTGGTTTATCGTTTCAGGTAGTAATTTCATCCAGAGTAGATTCAGTGATCTGGAAGATAAGACTTAACATTTGCTCTTTTAGGGTGAGCTAAGCATTTGGCGAAAAAACAACAACAGTAGAATTATAATGTTTAAATGAAAAACATGTATATTATTTAAGTATATTTTTGAGCATTTACATGAGAGTGGACCATAGAAAGATGGGGAATGACGTGCATCAAAGGTCCCTGGCTGTAGTTGAACTGGGACATTATAGTTTGAGGTTTCCTGGTTGGTGCCTTAATCCCTCAGGCACCGGGATGCCCTGATAAACTATTTACAGTTTAGGACCTTTTCCATCTCAGAGAATGATGATTTAAACCTTAAAACTAAAAGACATCAAGTTTCAAGCAAAATGACTCCCAAAGAATGTCCATTAATACTTTTTATAAGATTGAATATTGACCCACCGATTTCAACAACTGAACCCTGAATACCTATTGAATTTTAAAACCAATCTATAGTATTGATGCTCTCCCAAAATAAGTTATGTGTCAACAAAAAACTGTTAAACTGACCTGAAATCAGTGCTGATAATGAGACTTCGTCACCATAGACAATATTTTGATCGTGAATTCTGTTTCTATAAAAGTTGCTCCATACGTTACAATAATGAATCCTGGTGGTACTGGCTGCACAGTATCTCTCCTCTGGCTGGAGGAGGAACAAGTAGATCTTAATTTGAAATTTGTGGATAACAAGTGTTTTAAAGATAATTGTTCAAAGATAACGTCTATGATTTACATGCTCTCTGTCAAAATTACTTATCAACTGTCTGTGTTCTTGTACAGACTGATCCAGGCCGGAGTTCCTTGTTGGGTGACCCACACTCCTTCACAGGGGCCATGGTAAAGTACCATCATTTTATCTATGTTTTGGAAAGTAGCTGCTGTCAGTCTGGTGGCCTGTGTGCTGTCTGCAGAATCGGAAACTCGCCATTGATTTTCACTGTTAGTCAGGCCTGTTTACCAGGAAGCAGACAGTCACACCAGCTGCAACAGTGTCAAAGGTCCTCCAAGGCTGCCGCCTAAGCAGGGCAGCTTTCAGTTTTCATTGCAGAAATTGGTGTTGTACCGTTGCATAGTGACATAACTGGTGGATCGGATGTGTTGCCCATTGAACTGTGTGTGTATGTGTGAGTTTTTTTGTTCTTGGCATGCTGCTGCGTGGCGGCTGCCCCCTGGCTGGCCTCAGCGCACTGCTCCTCCAGCCTTGGTGACCGTGTGTATCAGCTCGGCTCATGCTGAGCCAGCATCCCACAGGATGTGCTGCCATCTCTTTCGACCACCTTAATCTTTCTTTGCACAGTGTTCAGACTAAATTCTGCTCCTGACCAAACACAGGCCATAGATTTGCGTCGATCTCTGTCAGCACAAGTCCAGACATTTTTTCCACCAGTTTGCCCTTGAGGAAAAATCCCTGACTCTGCTTGTGTATCCATGTCTGGCATTCACTACTAATAGGCATCCTCTGTAAAATGTGTTCATCTTGGACATAACTACTACTGTGACCTCAAACATTTGGTCCCTAAGAAAGTGTACAGACTGCTGGTAAAAACTTCTTTTAAAAAAATGGACATAATTAAATTTTAGCCAAAAATTTCATGTAGACTCTCCTTTCTTTTCAAGGTCTTGTAGTTGAAGTTTCATGTCTATTTCCAGTTTTAAAGCTATGCATGTTATTGTCATCTGAAATACCATGGCTCGTCGTACAAGGGGTGATTATAGTAAATTAACCCGGGTTACATATTACAGTATGGGTGGGAAAGATAAGACAGCCACACAAACAAGTATAAATGCAGCCCTGTCAGGTTGGTTTTAAATCATCTCTGTCACAATAAGGGTTGTGACATTTCTGCTATATCCAAATAATGTAAAAGCAAATCAGATGGTGGCATGGCTGGGAAAATTCAACACAGTGAAACAGAGAAGTAACACTCCTTTTCCCCAAAAACTACTACCATGGTGGTCTTTCAACCCCCCAGGTGATGTCTTCAGAGCAGCTCTGTGGTCAAAGCTGTGAATACATCTGTCACTGTACTTGAGTTTGTGACAGGAGCAGGGTAATAAATGAGGGAAAACTCAGCCAGGCTTCCCTGGACAAACATTTCAAAAGCCATATTAAAAGTAAAGACAAGTATGTGACTGAAAGAAGGTTGTTGTTGTCAAAGCTGACTCGAGTTCAGTAAATAGTTAACAGGCCTTTTTTCTGCAGGAGGAGGAGGGGCAGCATAGCTTGGAGTGTATCCAGGCCAATCAGATCTTCCCCAAGAAGTCCCCCGTCCTGGAGGAGGAAAACATGCAGGTGAGGACGCCGCTGCCCTCACTGCTTATCTCATGTTGTAAAAAAAAACCCAGTTAACCTGACAGTTATGTGTAAATATGTGGTTGAGTCAGTTACATAACCAGCCTGACATATGTGACTCACTTTCAGTTTTTACCAGTCTCAGAAGTGAAGTGTCAAAAGTCATGTAATATCTGAATGCCTATAACTGAAAGTAAAAACCAACTTTTACTTTCTGTCATTAAAAAATCATTATGAAGAAATTATAATAAGTAGACTTTCATCTGAGAAGCTACAGGTCAGCACTCTGTTATTGGCCAGTTGGTCATTCCAGGCATTTATGTTGTTTCTGTATCGTTTTATATTGTTTCTAGTAGGGCTGAACAATTAGTTGAATTATTATCAAAATAGCAGCTGCAATTTTTTTGATGTAGGTGAAATGTGTCACAACATACCATGAATAACATCTGCCAAAATAAGCACAACATGATTTTTTTGCATATCATTCAGCCATAATCACGAGTTATGTTATCTTCTACTTTGGTATGTTTTCAGTCAGCTGGTTGCTGGTATTTAAAGTGGTAGCTGTGTCACTGGGAAAGTTTCCTTTTTTTTTCAATGAGTGTTGTCCCACTGAAAATTACTGATTTGTCAAGATCCTTTTTGGCACAGGAAGCATGATCAAAGAAAACAAATCACAGAGTTCCTGAGTTCTTTACAAAGTTCACCAGGTGGTTAATGGGAGAAGTTCATGCTGTGGAAAAAGAGTGTAGAGTTTGTACTTATGACTCAGATTACCTGCAAGAGTGCAACATTTCAGTTTACCCGACTGCTGTAGTAGAAATGGTCAGCATGTTGCTACAAGTTGCAAAATAGTCACACTAACCATGTCTAGTGAAAAAGCGATCAAATCACAACCCTTATGTCATCACTGCTGATCTCTGTGACGCTGTTGTGAGTTTGAAATGTTTTATCACCTGCTGTTGCTAGGTGCCCTTTCCTGAGCTGCACGGGGAGTTCACAGAGTATGTGGGGAGAGCAGAGGATGCCATCATCGCAATGTCCAACTACCGCCTACACATCAAGTTCAAAGAGTCTGTTGTCAACGTAAGTATCTTTGAAAAGTGACTGATGTGCTTCAAGGTCAGATACGATTAGAGAATCTCTTTCACAGGGTTCAAAATAACTGGAGAATGAAGTACATTGTCTCTACTCGAGGCTGTGTGAATCTATTAATGTTTTGTGAATGGGCAGAGCCGGGGCCATTGTGCCAGCGCCGTGGTGACCAGGCCATTCAGAGCTGATCTGCACTGGCAGCAGTGCCGCGTGACTCTTCATCACCTCTGTTTCTACACTCGCCTGCCCGCATTGCTTTCTCGCTGCACTTGCCGTTGCCATGGTTGCAGTGATTCCAGAGGGGATGCATAATAGTGGCGCCCTCTCTGTCTCTCTCTCTCTCTCTCTCTCTTTCTCTTTCTCTTTCTCTCTCTCTCTCTCTCATTTCGCCACACTAAGAGAGAGACTAGCTTTGTGACCGATAGTGGTCACCTTCTAAAAAAACATCCTCATGTGCCTTTGTGAAGATGTTCTAGGTTTACTTGGTTTTTTTTTTATACTCCTATAAGATACTGGCTCCAGTAAACTTCCAAAACTATGAGTTATTACAACATAGATTGACACCACATATAAACAACACATATAAACAAATATTTATGCATTTGTATATATTATATATTATATATTATATTATACATATGTATTCAACATTCTGTTAAGTCCAGGGTTGCACAGGGTGGTAGTACTAAAAAAAACTTTTTTCCGCAGAGTATACACTCTGTTATATGCAGTGTATCTCTCATAATCTGCCTACATGCAAATCTTTAAATGTTTTTCTTACTCACAAATGAAGTATTTGTCATAATCCTTTGAGGAAATTGTTCCCAAATGCCTTAGGAGAAAAATATGATCACCAAGCTGCTCTGGTGCAGACTTGAGAGCAGGAAAGTTGTGCAATGATAAATCATGTGCTGCAGAAAAACACTTCTGGATGTTTCATTTCCTTCTCTCAAAAACTATCATCATCTATGCAAGTGAAAATAACACATTATCACTGTAATGGATAAGTCCTCTTCTGTTCTATGTTTTTCTTATTGTCAACAAATCCCATGAAAAATCCAAAATCAGTGATGAATTGATCCTATCAACAAGTATTGTCTGTATTGTTGAGAGGCCGGTGAACCACATCAGTGAGGCAGTGATACGTTCATTCATTACCCTCAGCATGGACCCTCCTGATTATTTAGAATCAGTCCCACATACACTGCCCTGTCCCTGCTGCCGAAAACACCCACTAATTGCACATAATAGACTTAAACAACATAACTGTTTATACCTGTTTAGGTAACGTTTGCTAAAAACGAGAGCTCCCATATGTTTTGGGAAATTATTCAGCCTTTTAGAAAATGAAAGTATATATTTGTGACGTGTTTTTAAAGACTTCAGTAGGAACGTTTGGTGCCAGGCAGAGGAGGGAGGTCAGAGAGACACAATGTTGGTTTTGGTCTTTTCATGGGATTTGTTGACGTTAAAGTATCAAAGCTAAATTCTTTTGATACCAAAACTTAAAACCTAAATTTTAAGTACCAAAACCTCCCAGTGAATGTCTGGTCAGATTTGTAATCTTGTTTATTTTATGTATTGATCACATAGTTCCTGATTTAAATCACAGTTTTTGCAAGTTTGAGAGTATTTTTTATTGAAGCCAAGTTCTTGCGGCTGCTTGAGTTTAAGCAACATTTAAAATCGGAGACTTCTGGCTTGGAACCAAAGTTGATGTGTGATATCATCAATAGATGCTCATTGGTTTATTCCCCGATTCCGGTGAGTGCATCCATCTGAGTGTTTCCTGTTGCTACTGGCTGCCCGTCACGTGTAGCTGGGCTTAATTGGAACCTCAATGAGCCTCCGGTTCCTGGCGCACAAACCACGTCTCTGTGCTCACATCAGACAGAGCCAGCGTTCTCCTCACACATATTTGGACGTGTTGACGAGGCATTTGCATCACATGGTGGAGTTGTCAGAGCTCACAAACCAGGGGTGGGAGGTGGAAGAGAACGAGAGGCTGTTAACAAGCAGCTCAGGAATTTTGATGGTGGCCAGATTAGGGATGTAGATTAGAGGGCCGGAATTAAGTTGCAGAGGCAGGATGCTCGAACATCCGGAATATGTTGCGATGGCAGAAAGTAGTTCCAAATCCACGAGCACCATTTTCATTATTGTTCTCTCTGTTTTGTTTTGGATAGAGTTGTTGTTGTGAGGTGTCAGTAAGTACCCAGCAGAGCTGCATGGCGTGGAGTGGTGGACTGTATCATTTGTGTGTGTAATTTGTTTGTGCCTGTCTGTTACCTCGCTGGTGCCAGAGGAGTAGACTCCTGCTTGTTCACCCCGTTTAACACCAGGTGCTGGATTAAAGTAGACGTGATGAAAAAATACGTGTGGGGAAAAATCTGTCCACACAAAGCGTTCAAGCTGTCAATCCTTCCACATGAAGAAAATCTCCATCAGGCAGTAACACTGTCGCTGCACTAATGTATTGGGAGCTTGACTTGCTGATGACTGGCTGTCGATGCATGGCTCTGGACTGTGTGTGAACAGCAGCTTGAGCCACACCATTTTATGAAAGCCCACTGTGCTGCTGAAAAGTGCCCTTACTGTAGCTAATTAACAGAGCTTAGTCAAGAGCAGCATAGGTATTTCCCTGCAGTATTCAAAGTATGCTCTTAAGTTACAAGCACATGACAGTTCTGTACTTTACATGTAGTTTGCCTATAAAAGATAAGACTGTAGCTCTGGGCCCAAAGGGAAAAGCAGATACAAGCTCTTCAGGATCCAGTATTGAGTGTTTTTGTTCTCCCATATGCAAACTTAAAAAGATTATTTATATTAACAGAGCTCAGGAAGATGTGATGTGATATGAAAAATGAATGGAAATGCACCTGGAAGTAATCTGTGTGACCGGTGTATTTTTAGCACCATGCAGCTGAAGGGGTTTGGTTACAGAATTAACTATATGAAGTAAAAATGTGATGTTGCAGCACATCTGGCTGATTCTTGGCATGATGGCGTTTTACTGTGTCGACCACCACTAATTTACATAATGGACTGTTAGTTGCAGTCTGCCACACTACTTGTACTGACTGCATGGGTTTGGTTGGTGCATGTTTCTGTATGAAGAGCTGATGTTCCCTCTCTTTCGATCCACAGGTCCCTCTTCAGCTTATAGAGAGCGTGGAGTGTCGGGATATGTTCCAGCTCCACGTGACCTGTAAGGACTGCAAAGTCGTTAGGTATGTCCTGCACACTAAAGCCACTCCAGCTGTTTCCTCCTGTTTGTTAAAGGTGTAGAAAAGTTGGGCCGCTGCAGTGTCTCACCTGGTGCAGTGCATACCATTTAGGCTCAGTCCTTACCATAATGGCCTGGGTTTGAATCCCACTCAGACCCTTGTTAATAAAGCCAAAAAATAACATTATAAACCGGTGTAGAAAACTTGATCTAGAATAGTTTCTCTTCCGTATCTAGTTGTCAGAAAATGTGATGTTCTGTTTAAAGCATTTGAAGTAGAGATAACAATGATAATCAAAAATTGCCAGTCTCACAGAAGTCCAGGCGCCAGGTTTAAGGTTGCTATGGCAACATTTAAATGTGGCAGCAGAGAGAGAGAAGACAATGATGCAGATAAGCTAATAAATTTCTGCTGCACACAATTCATATTTTTTGTCACTTGGAGCTAGCTTTGTAGAAGTTGAGCATTGAAAGAATCAGTCAGATGTAACACGAGAGGATGCCTGATGTAATGCCTGTTGTTAGACTTTCTGTAGAGACTCAACACCAAAATTGGTAAGGTAAGGAAATATGTGCTTTCCACAAACAAAGGACAACAAGTATTTGCTTGATTCTGAAGTATCTGTGTTGCAGATATCAGTATTGAAATGCTTCTCTGAGAACCACCCCTGTGCTCCGATAATATTCTGTCACCTGATGAAGGTGTAACATTGCCTTTTTCCTTGTTGCGTTTCCAGGTGTCAGTTCTCCACCTTTGAGCAGTGTCAGGAATGGCTGAAACGCCTGAACGTGGTGGTTCGCCCTCCCTCTCGCCTGGAGGACCTCTTCTCCTTCGCCTTCCACGCCTGGTGCATGGAAGTATACGCCGGCGAGAAGGAGCAGCACGGCGAGCTGTGCAGACCAGGTACCCTGTTGTCTCCTACATGTCCTCGCATAGCCCCAACAAAAAAACCTCCCCTCTGCTCTGCTCTGTTCTTATCAGACATCTCTGCTCTCTCTCCAGGCGAACATGTGACCTCCTGGTTTAAGAATGAGGTGGAGAGGATGGGCTTTGACACTCAAAACGCCTGGAGGATATCTGACATCAACAGCAAGTTCAGGTAATAGCAGGCTCTCATTCAGGAGACATAATCTGCTGCTGTGCTGATTTCCGTCACTCTCAGTTAGAAGATAGATCTGTCCTTAGCTTTCATTGGCGTACATCGTGTGTGTGTGTGTGTGTGTGTGTGTGTGTGTGTGTGTGTGTGTGTGTGTGTGTGTGTGTGTGTGTGTGTGTTAGGTAGGGGGGTGGTTGTGTTATTGTACGCCACTGGTGCTGCACCCTGGGCAGATAAGGGTCCAGCCCAGGATTAGGTGTCTGTAGACAGAGACTTTTGTTGAGCCATTGCAGCCCCTTGGTGCTGCCTCCCTCCCTCCTTCTCTCTCTCTCTCCTTGTTTAGCAGTTGCTCTCTCTCCCTTTCTGCTCTGCCAGACTGTGCCCCAGCTATCCTCAGCAGCTCCTGGTGCCAGCCTGGATCACTGACAAGGAGTTGGAAAACGTGGCAGCCTTCCGCTCCTGGAAGAGGTTTCCTGCAGTGGTTTATAGGTTGGTTTATGTTTGTTTCTCCCTGAGCTCTTCAAACCAGAAAGTTAACTTCCTCATGTGCTGATTGGCCTTTGTGTTTTTTTGAAGGAATGAAACCATCTTCTTTTCAGCTCTATGTCAATGCCACGTTGAGTTTACTTAGGCCAGGAAAACATGGCTTCAGTGAATTGTAGTTGTTGTATGTTTAATGAACAGTGCTCAAGAGCCTTTGATCTTTTGTTTTTGGAAAACTACACCAACCAGAAATCTTAACTTTGTGTGTTACAGCACCTGAAAAGAATAAAGCCAGTGGTTCCCGACCTGTTTGTGTTATGAAAAGGAAAGAAGGTCGCCTGCTGAACCAAAGAGTCATATGAAATGATTAGTTCAGTAATTAATTCGTTGATTGACAATTTCATTTATCAGCAACATTATTTCTTTGATATTTTTTTTAAATCAAAAAAGTAAAAAACTCACAGGCTCCAGCTTCTAAAGTTAGAATATTTGTATATGACGGTAAACTAAATACTGTTGGTTGGACAGACCTGCAGTTACAAGAGGTGAAGTTGCTTTAGGGCATTTTTCACTATTCTTTGATATTTCATACACTAAACCATTGATTGATTAATCAGAAAAGAAAATGTTAGATTAAATGATAATGGAAATAATTATTATTTGCAGCCCTGTTCATTTTCTTTTAATCATCAAAAAAGCCAACAAATAAAACATAATGTTGTGCAGGAGAAATGCAAAACAGATAGATGCTAAATGCTCTTAACTAGGACATAACCCATAACTCAGATTGACTGACTGTGTATTTGTGCTCTGGCTAACCCCTCACACAGGCACCTGAGCACGGGGGCTGTGATCGCCCGCTGCGGTCAGCCAGAGGTCAGCTGGTGGGGCTGGAGGAACGCTGATGACGAGCACCTGGTCCAGTCCATCGCCAAGGCCTGCGCCGTGGACAGCAGCTCCCGCAAACACCTCCCCAACGGTACCTACACCAACGGCTCAGACCTGCCTGATACTGACTTCGGTAAGAGCCTAACTCACTGACATACCGTATAAATCGCACAAACACACTCCCTCACAGCTGAGCACACACCTACCACCACACACAGACATGGATCTGCAGCTGACACTGTTGCGCAATCCGAGGTGTCAGGGCTTGTCTCAAGCAGCAGGTTTACACACAGATCACAGTAACTTCTTATGTCAAACACATTCTGTTGATGTTACATATTTCTGTCTTTTTTGACTTTTTTGAAACCCTTCAGCCCTCGTTTCATGCAGCATGAATTGCACTGGGTTGTAACTTTGCTGTGTTTTGTGTCTTTGTCAGAGTCCTCCATGACCAACAGTTCAGAGGTGGAAACGTTGGTCATCCAGCCCCATAAGTTACTTATCCTGGATGCCAGGTCCTACGCTGCTGCCGTAGCGAACAGAGCCAAGGGGGGAGGCTGTGAATGTCCAGGTAGGTCCTCTCAGCTCAGGCTCTTATTACAGGCAGAATTAGGTCAATGTGTGCTGTGGATGCAGTATATCGGTTAACCACGAATGCGATTGTTCTCTGCGCTAAAATCAAAAACCACTAGCTTTTGTCTTCTCATTTTTTTCTCATTTGTTTTCCTCATGTTCCAGAGTACTACCCCAACTGTGAGGTGGTGTTTATGGGCATGGCCAACATCCACTCCATCCGCAAGAGTTTCCAGTCTCTGCGTTTCCTCTGCACTCAGATGCCTGATCCAGCCAAGTATGTTTTTTTTTTGTTTTTTTTCTGCCTCCAGCAGTGCCTCCAGCTTCCCCTAGTCACGACTCAGCTCACAGCTCTGCAGGCTAAAACTATTAAACCTTGAGCCCTCAAGCTTTGCTGTAGTAACTGTAGGTAACTAGTAATCACAGCTGTGTTTTGGCCCTGGTCATACATCTGTGCCTGATTTAGAAAGCCTGGCCCAACCCCAAGTGGAGGATCTCTTTCCATCTGCACTCCCAGCCTCGGTGCCACAATGATGTGTAATTAAATCACGCTGGCTTAAGAGGCTGTTGTTGAAAGTGGTTAGAAGATCAGATCAGAAAACAAAAACAGGCTCAGAAAAAAGTCCTCCCAACACTGCACCCAGGCTTTAATAGGGTCACACAGTTCATGTCTATGTGCTGTCATATTCGTCAGCTTTGAAGGGCCTTGTGCACGAACTTTCTGATGTTTATGCAAAACACAGCGGGCTATGCCGATTTCTCTCTGCTAATTGTCAAACATTACACCACAGTGCCACTGTACTGAGCAAGACCAGCTGCTGAGCTTGACGTGTTATAAACATATAAAATGAGTATAAACTGTCACAAGCCTCCAATCATTCTGTCACAGACTCTTCATGTTTATAGTCAAGACAAACACACCAATAGAGCTCAGAATATTATCCTAGATAAGATAAGAGAAGTGAAACATTTACTCATAATTGAAGTAGGTCACGTCTCTCTCTGGTCATCCATGTAATGTGTTGAAATATTCAGTGACTTTTATTCAACCAGGCCATTTAGGCTGGAATCATCAGCTGTGATTTTGGGCACCTGACAAATGCAGGTCTTATATTTGCTCTACGTTTAGCTCTTTTCTTAGAATCTCCACCAAAATTAAGAAAAAGATCTCTCTATTTCTCAAGCTGCTAAATTCCCCGATGAAGAATATTAAAAAAGTAGAAAGACACAGAACAACATTGACGTCACAGTTGAGCTCGTAGCTATACAAAGCTGTGCAGAAGTTGTTGACGGGTTTTGCGAACTAGAGGCTTTAAATCCTGTGGTATGTGGCATCGGCTCATGCTTTGTACTTGTCCTTATGAAACACGTGTGGCATCACTTAGTATCTGAGCCGTGCGACCTGGTCTGATGTTTCTGTTTTTGCTCTGTTGCTGTCTGTGTGCCGGCAGCTGGCTCTCTGCACTGGAGAGCACCAAGTGGCTGCAGCACCTGTCCCTGCTGCTGAAGGCGGCGCTGCTTGTGGTCAACGCCGTGGATCGAGACCACAGGCCCGTCCTGGTGCACTGCTCCGACGGCTGGGACCGCACACCTCAGATCGTTGCGTTGTCCAAACTGCTGCTGGACCCGTACTACCGCACTATTGAGGTACAGATGAAGACTCTTTGATCTTTAGTTCCGTCCTCCGACCCTTTGTAACATTTGGTCATTTAACAGGATCACGTTTAATAGCAGAAAAACTTTATTATTTTATTTGTTCACTTTGTTTTTACTTTTTTAAAAACTGCACATGAGCATGACTGGCCTAATATTGTGAAGCAACATTTTATTGAACCTAAGATCTTGTGACATCTTTGTGCAGGGCTTCCAGGTTTTGGTGGAGACTGAGTGGCTGGACTTTGGCCATAAGTTTGCTGACCGCTGCGGCCACGGAGAAAACTCTGATGATCTGAACGAGCGCTGTCCTGTCTTCCTGCAGTGGCTGGACTGTGTTCACCAGCTGCAGAGGCAGTTTCCCTGCTCCTTTGAGTTTAATGAGGCCTTTCTGGTGCGTACCAGTGGCAGAAATCAAACACTACAACTGTAAAGTCTTCTTAGATCATGAGATTAGACACTGCAGAATGTTTTCATCTACGTGGAAGGAAATGGCATGCCTCTGATTCAAGTGTGTTCACATTCAGTTTCCGATTGTGAGACACTGATATGCATTTACAGTCTGGGTGTGTTGATGAGTCATGTGTTGAACTCTCGTCATCTCTGCTCTCATTATCATATCTAAGGTGTTTGTACAAGCCTCTACATGTCAGCTTGTGTGTGTCTGCAGGTGAAACTGGTGCAGCACACCTACTCCTGTCTGTTCGGCACCTTCCTGTGTAACAGCGGCAAGGAGAGGGAGGACCGGCACGTTCAGGAGAGGACATGCTCAGTGTGGTCGCTGCTGAGACCGGCCAACCGCACACTGAGGAACATGCTGTACTCCTCACACTCCGAGACCGTACGTCCGCTGTTTCTGAAGCATGTTAAAAAAAAAAGTTTTCTACAAACAACAAAGCGGATTGAAGCAAGACAAAGAAGAAAATGTGTCAGTGGAATTAATTAAAAACAAAGTTTAGCCTGCTTAGGCCTGGGTTTCCAAATTCTTCAGGTCCAGACAGGGAAGTCTTCAGATGAATTAGATGAACCCCAGAGCTTTGTATTTCATGATGTCTTCTTAGATTTATTGTTAATTGTTGTGGTCTTAAACTTGATTTAGGAGTTTTTACCACCCTTCCTAGAATTGCATTTTGTGGTTTCGGCTGTTTTCATGTTTGCATTTCTCTGTGTGGGTGTCATGGCCATAACTTCTTGATTTACCATGAGTGGAAATCATACTCCCAGAATAGCATTCACATATTTTTTATCAAGTCTGATTATTCAAATATTCACTTAGCCAGTTCCTTTGTTTCATTTTCTTCCTGTGTTCAGTCTTTAAAGATTTTTCTCCAGAGCGTTTTGCTATTATTTGTCTCCTGATGACGTCCTGAGTTAAATGTGCAGCTGTTGTTGCAGGTTCTCCATCCAGTGTGTCATGTGCGCAACCTGATGTTGTGGACGGCGGTCTACCTGCCCAGCTCCTCCCCCACCACCCCTTCCGATGACTCCTGCGCCCCTTACCCTGTGCCCGGTGCCAACCCGGAGGATGCACCACTGGGCAGGTGAGCCTGGCGCGCTGGCACCAAGCCCCCCCCCTCTTCCTCCTTCATGTAAGAAACACAGGTCGAGGACTCCCACAGCTGGAGAGGCTCGGCTTTTCAACTCGTCTGCTTTGATACTTTGCTCTGCTCGGGCCCTTGCAGTCACAGATGCTGTTTTATGCTCTGCTTATCTTGTGTCTCATGACAGTGACAGTCACACCATGATGGAAGAGCAACAGGAAGTTGTTTCATTGTGATGTTGACATACTTTGACAGCCAGCTCTGAGTTAAAGAGACCAAGTCTGATTGCTTCTCTCTCATTATGTTTGTGCTGTGTTTTCTTGTTTTGGTGAGGTGAATGTGATTGCTTTGTTAGCCATACATTTTCTAATGATTATGTTGCAGTTTCAGATTGACTCATAGAGTGTCAAACACTTTGTTATATGATGAAATGCGGTTTCTGTGCATAATTCTTATCTCATTTCCTTCAGATGCACGAAGACTCGCTCCTTTGACAACCTACCCAGTGCATGTGAGCTGGGAAGCTCCCTGGCTCCTAACCGGCGCTCCAGTGACCCGAGCCTCAATGAGAAGTGGCAGGACCACCGGCGCTCTCTGGAGCTCAACATGGCAGTGGGGCCAGAGGGAGGGGGGAACCAGGATCAGGAGGTTCGGCCGAATGGAGTGGGGCCTTACCCAGACGGAGTGGACTCTGAGCTGGACGACAGCCCGCAGCCGCGCAGCTCACACGCTGAGCTCGGACAGGGAGACACTGTGAGCCCGGCAGCAGCAGGAGAGGACGCAGAGGAGGCGGAGCTCTCTGTGGCAGTGGGCGTGGCTGAGGGCCAAATGGAGAACATTCTACAGGAAGCCACAAAGGAGGAGGCGGCCGATCAGAGAGAGGGAGGTGCTGCTGTCACTCATGTCGTTAACACTGTTGACACAGAGGAGGAGAAAAAAGCAAAAGATGAGGACGAGGACGAGCGCGCAAAGGTCAACGGGACTGAGATGCAGAGAGAAGCATTTGCAAATGGTCACCATCCAGAAAATGGTGTAATGGAGACAGAGGAGGAGGATGAGTCTCCACCTCTGCCCACACAGAAGGCAGAAGAGCTGGATGAACAGGCAGCTGAGGTGACTCAGGCACCAGAGGATCTTGTGAAGCAGGATGTTGAAAACTCTTCTGTAGAGGAGGTTGTGCATGGACCCAGTGACTCTGGCTCAGGTGAGCCAGAGCAGCCTGCAGCCCATAGAACTATAACTAATGGCTTTGTGGACAGGTCACCTGAAGAGCCAGATGTGGAGGAGGAGACCTGCCCTGACTCAGTATCTGACCGTGGTGTCTCTGAGCCAGTGGAGCAGGTGGATAAGAGGGCCTCCCTGATGGAAAGCTCAACAGAGACTTTAACTGAAGAGGCCTGCAGCAGGTTGGAGCTCCCAGCACAGCCGCCTGTTAGTCTGAGCCGTGCGCCCTGCAGTGACGGCAGGAAACAGCCGCCCTGCTCCAGGAAAGAGAAGGGGCTGGAGGCAGGCGAGCACGGTCTTATCAGAACTTTAAATGGGGGCACCAAGCGAGCCTCCGTCAGTGCCTTTCAGTCTGTGAGTGCTGACCTCAGCAGGGATGGGATTTGTAACGGCGACAGCTCTGACGGGGAGCCCTGCGGGGGTCCTCACTGGGCCAAAGGGAATGGGGAGCGGGCCCCTCTGAGTCGACAAATGTCCCTAGCTAGCTGTAACTCCCTGATCCTCCATCCGCGGGGCAGTTGCTCCCAGCACCGCTGGTGCCACGCCCTGCTGGGCCGGGCCGCCATTAGCCCAGAGCAGCCTTCACGCAGTCACCTTGACGATGACGGACTGACGCTGCACACTGACGCCATCCAGCAGAGGCTAAGGCAGATCGAGGCGGGGCACCAGATGGAAGTGGAGACTCTGAAGAAGCAGGTGCAGGAGCTGTGGAGCCGCCTGGAGAATCAGCAGCACATCAGCTCTCACAGGATCAACGGAGACATGGGAGACGAAGTGGTAAGACACTGACACGTTGACCAGGTTTACCACCTGGACATAAGCTTTGAGTTGTAACTGCAGCCAGATAGATTCCTTCACATCTGCCGATTCTCTGTCTCCCCCCACGCAGACCTCAATGACAGACTCGGAGTACAACCTGGACCCAAACTGTTTGTCGCGCTGCAGCACAGAGCTCTTCTCGGAGGCCAGCTGGGAGCAGGTGGACAAGCAGGACACTGAGGTGAGCAGCTGGACTGACCTCAGGATATTTATTAGGGAGGGAAGGAGCAAAGATCTCAAAGAGATAGTTGTGTTTGTTCAGAGAGCTTGGATTTATGGAGCTCAGATCTCTTGTCAGCTGTGAGCTGACATTGCTCTGTACATTACAGGTCACTCGCTGGTACCCTGACCATTTGGCAGCCCAGTGTTACGGCTGTGAGAGCAGGTTCTGGCTCGCCACCAGGAAGCATCACTGCAGGTAAAGACTGAGGACTGTCAAGCTGCAGAAGCTCAAACCTTCAGTCACTCACTGTCAGCAGCCACTGCTCTCTGTCCTGCAGAGTTCAAACTCGCTCCTCTCATGTTCAGAACTGGTTCCTTGTATTCAGATACATCCAGACCTCGTCTAGATTCAGCGGCAGCAGCTTTCAGTTCACACCAGAATCAGAATGACTCTTGAATTCTTCTCAAGTAACTTTTTATGATGGATTTTAATGAAAATCAGGCCGTTGACTAATTTAGGTTTCCAGCAGGGAGTTGCTCATTCTTATTGATACACATATGCTGGTATGTTTCTTACTAGCATTGAGTTTTTGTCCAGCCTACTCTGTTCTACAGAAGTGAATACAAGCTTCTCTGACCTCAAGCAAACATGGTTACTACAATCTAATATCTTTAATGTTTTTGCACTATGATCAGGTCACAAAGACACTTTTTAGTGTTAAGTGTGAACAGGGCCTGGCTGTTCTGTCATTGGAGGAGCACTCCTTTGATTTAGAATAGCATTTGCACAAAGTTGTGGGACATGTGAGAGACAAACTTTAAAAAATGATCCCTATCACTGCAGCAGAGGCTCAGATACCCCTGACTTTGAGGCCCTCATAGAGAAACACCAATTCCAACCTTTCCCATAATGCAGCTTGATAGCATCTCTTTTTTAAACCGTCCCTGCCTGGTAAACACCCAGAGCTTTCAAAGTCAACATCTGCAGTGTGTAACTTAAGTTTTCTGAGATGCTCCTTTAATTTAAAGCCTGTCATGGTGACAGGTTGTTGGATTGGTCTATCTACTTTAGTGTTTGTTTGTCGGCGCTTCTGTCCTACAAGACAGTTTCAGCAGTGAAGCACTACAGCCCACAACTGTGGTGATCTTAGATTTTCTAAGTTTTTTTGTTTTTGTTAAACTTTGTGAAGCTGACACACATCTTCAGCAGGAAGTGTGTTTTAGTGTGTTTTAAGTTTTCTCCACTGTTCAGGCAGTTCTTATCCATTGTCTGCCCCTCTCCTCCTCTACAGTGGCAGGGAGCCTGTCCAGGAGGTCTGGTGAGATCCGGCTTCCCTGTCCCCCCACCACCCCACCCTCCACCCTCCACCCTTTTTACCGGACATTGCTGCACCTTCCTCGTTCTAATCCTTACACACACACCCCACCCCCACCCTCCCTCCCTCCCTGTCTCTCCTCACTTGCTGCATCTGGTTTCCCCCCCATTGTGTTTTAGTTGTCAGCAAATTCTCAAGGAAATCTCTCTTCATTACTGCGATGTATTGACTTGAGTGTGCGTCCTGCAGCGCCAGTGTGTTTTCATTCAGTGATTTTTAATTGGCTTTGACCGTGAGCACGCTGCTGTCAGTGGTTCAGCTGTGTTCGGTCGAGGGCTGATTCTTATTTTTCCTGAAAAGTTTAAATCTAAAAAAAAAAAAAAGACTTCCTCAACCTCAACCCTCCTCCTGCCATAGCACCACATCAGCACCCCTCCCTCCCACCACCCTCAACACACAACCTGGCAGCATGCTGCCCCAAACCAGCCCCCTGCATCTCACCTCCCAGCAGCACAGCATGGTCCTGAAGGCCATGCAGTCCACCTGGTGGTGTAAGTGGCTGCAGACAAAATTAGATGAGGTTTTTTTTCTGCTCAGGGTGAGTACAGGCAGGCAGAAGGGACCACTGTGCGTGTAAGTGTGTGAGCATGGCCTTACATCTGAATCTGAGCATGGGTATCTGAAGCCTCCAGTGTGACCTGCCTTCCTGTCCAGTGATGGTAACCTGTGTTTTTAATGGGCTGAATAATCAAGTTATCACTGCTGAGTAGATGAGCACCTCTGCTAACCCGGCATGTAGTGAAACATCACAGCAAAGTGGAACTGTGAGCAGGAGCGGTGTGCAAAGTGGAGGTCTTCACGGGTCCAACATTCTGGACCTGTTCTGAAATGGAGCGTGGAAAACCCAGCCGAACCTGATGTGCATGAATGAATATTTATAAAAGAGAGACAAGATCAGAGGGAGACCCAAACAGAAAGAGAAGACAAACACCGACAGCAGCGTGATGCAATTTCATCATTTAACAAGCAGTGGTGGAAAACATGTTAATGTTCAAAGAAGAATTTATATAAATAATTCAATGTCCTAATATCAACCTCCTGCACCAACAATAAGACAAAAGACTGTGTTCTCATGTAGTCAATATCAAATTCCAGTTCCAGTTCCCTCGTTAGAACAACGCTCTGGTGAACTGTGAAGTTCACAGTTCTCGTCTTCCCTCTCGCCTCAAAACACTGTTTTCTCCCTCCATAACGTACCACGTACGTCATCAGAGCTGACATTGTGGAACCGTGAAGACCTCCAGTGCAAAGCTCAGGATGAAGCACTCAGCACTTTGAGTTTCAGACCTGCTTTACTCCTCTTGTATCATGTGTCCCCGGTGATCAGATTGTAATCAGACACAGCAAACACAAGGTGAAAGAAACAACTTCTGTAAGTTTGTTTGCTCACGGCAGACACATTTTCATATCAGGGTCCTGTTCTTCAGATGTGAGCTCACTAATCCAGACTAACACAGTCCTTTAATTCTCATCCTGCTCACTTGGTTCTTCAAACACAGAGATTTGTTTTCTTAATCTTTTTTATGAAATTATGTACAATAACTGTGAGCTCTTATTTTGAAGCAAGGCTAGCATGATTAGTGCTGATCATATGATTTTTCCTATAACTGGCTGACATTTTACTGTTGCTACAGACAAGAACATTTCTAATGTAGCTGCACAGAAGTTACTTAAAGCCAAGGCCCAACCCCCAGCCCAGTAATCAGTATTACTTAATTACACACTCCACTCTGATAGGCTGCACTGGTATCAGCACTGATTCTGATCATATTAAGCAGATCACACACCAGCGATGACGTGACCAATCTTCATTTAATAGTGTCTTTGTCACAGTCATTAAATTGATTATTTCTGCTATCAGTTACATTGAGTCACAGTGGCCCACCAACTCTGTTTTTAGTCTCTGGCCTCATGTTATTTACATTAAAATTCTTCATAATTCAGATTATTATGATTTCATGCAGTGGGGCAACATATTTCGTGTTTGGAAAAACCAGAGCAGTGGCTGAGATCAGTTCTCAGTATCAGCTGTTTACACGTTTTTATGTGTGATGCAGCATTTAATTAAAATGTTTATTTTAGTGTTTAAATGACAAGTTTCCATCAGAATGTAATAATTAACTTTCTGATATATTGTTCCATAATTCTAATAACAGTCAGACACCTATAGTTGGATATTGTCCCTCTGGTCTTTGTATCCTTGACTATATTTGGATCGGTTCTTATTTTAAGTAAACCTTTTTTTGTAATTTTATAGCCAATTTTATCATGTTGAGGTGTTGCTATGATATTTACACCAAAAGCAGAATTGACATGTTCTGATCTAAAATCAATTAAATTTAACTGGAAAGTCTTAAAGACAAACTTTAAACTCACTTTGAAGAACTCTCAGATCCAGACTTGTGTCAAACCATCAACAACCAAATCAAGCTAACTCGGTTTTCCACATGTGAAGAACAGGCCTTGGTTTAAATATGATGGAGGTGAGTCTCATGTAAACCCGATCTAAAAAAGGAGGCGCATGGTAACTGTGGGTGTAAAGAGGCTCTGTCTGGGAGTCCAGCAGTGACCGCTCTGTGTCCCCCTGCAGGAACTGCGGTAATGTGTTCTGCGCCAGCTGCTGTGACCAGAAGATCCCAGTGCCAAGCCAGCAGCTGTTTGAGCCCAGCCGCGTCTGTAAGACCTGCTACAGCAGCCTCCGGCTCACCTCGGTCCCCCTTGACCTGGAGCTGGAGAAACCCATCACAGCCAGCTCCAACTGAGGCTCAGAGGACCGGGACAGGAGAGCGAGTCGGGCTGAGCTGCCAGCCGCTGACACAGGCCCACTGCTGAAGAAGAGCACAGGAGCTACACAGAATGTCCCATGTACTTTGTGTGTGTGTGGCAGATATGGAATTTAATGTGTATATACAGAGGATGGCGTGGTGGCGGAGCTGAATGACGTGTTTGCGAGATGCCGAGCGCTCTGAACAGTGGGTGTGCACAGGGGTTGGTGGTGTGCGAGAGTGTGTGTGTGAGAAGAAATTGCACATTCGCCACACAGAGGGTCTGTGGCAGTGATGGGACTGCACTCCGAAGCCAGAGGAGTGAGGATGGACATCCTGGTGCCTTGGACCAGGCAGGCAGAGAAGGTCGTCTCACTGTGTCGCTGAAGTAGATTCAGCGGCTTGGTCCATTGAATCTGCTTCCCCCGCTCATCCACGCTTCTCATCGGACTTCTACACCATCGTGGACTTCTTCTTCTTCTCTCTAGAGGCTGTGAGGTCAGAGGTGATGTGGAAGATCTCCGGGCAGCCACGAGATAGTCCCTCAGCATCAGAAATGTCTGGATAGTGATGTTCACAAATGTTGTTTAGGGAGAAGCTTAAAGGGTCAGTTCACCCAAACTACCAAAAACACATTTCCTCACTCCCCTCTTGAATCTAACCTGTATCTACAGTATATTTGATTTTATTTGCGATATCATCTGTGATATCTTTGTTGCCATCCAAAGACAGTGGAGGTGAAATGAATTAGGCCTGAAAATATTATTTTCTTTATCGATTAACCAGCAAATCATTTTTTCAAAAAGTCAATGCTTCACTTTTTCTGTAAAATGTAAAATAGTGAAATGTATCCATTTAGTTGTCTCAGAGCCCAATATTACATATTTAAATTGTTTGTTGTTTGTCTAACCAGATGTTCAAAATTCTAAGTTTAGTTTAATAACATATGACACAAAATAGCAGCATTTCTTTTTACATCTGACAAGCTGGAGTTTGTCATTTAAAAAAAAAAAAAGATTATTGGATAATTTTGTGAAAGTTTATCATTCAATTATTATATAACAAATTATTGTTTGTGGGGCTCACAGCACTTAACATGACGTTTACAGTGGTACCCCAGTGATCTAATATTACTCTTCAGTTTGGGATTTTTAAAAGACAGGCCGATATGTCCTGACCTCCAAAATGCTGAATCCTACATTTCCCATAATGCAATTCCAAAGTGTTTTAATAATAATCATCATAATAATATGCCGTCTGCCAGGTAACCACCCACATCTTTCAAACTAAACACTGGCATTCTGGTTTGTGTTAGTGGTTTCAACATCTGAGGAGCGGTAACCCTAATGACATCACTGTGACATCATCAGGGTAATTTGTTCAGACTTGACAAAAGCCACAAATTATATAGTAGTAGTACTCCTCGTGATGAGTAAACTGACCTTCAAGTGTAAAATTGGTGTTTTCCCATAAAGGAATAAAACGGCATCATTTATTTCCCTTCATTTGAGGTAATTTAATGCATTGGGTGAACTGACCCTTTAACGCACTGTGGGCTGAATCTCAACATATCTGCTTGCTTTTGCTTTGGTGAGTTTTTATCAGCTCTTCACACAGGATTGCTCAGACGTGTGTATATACAGAATATACAGCTTGACATGTAAATACAAAACAGAAAAAAAGAATTTTGCTGTTTGGAGTTTGTGTTTTTCAGTGTTGAGATTCAGCCCACAGTGCAGACGAGGAAGGACGAGGGTTGTGATCATTAACAAAAATGCTGTTAGGATATTCAAATAGTTTTTCTTTCTTCTTTTGAATACTGATCTCAACCACAGTGAGGAGAGTAAATTATTATGATTGTTACTATTCAGCCATGTGAGTCTTACAACAGGACGTGTTATTGATCTGTAGAAAAGGCTTTAGAACATCTGACCCTTTAACAGCTGACGGCCGCTCAGCTCTTCCACCCTGACTGACTGTTATTACTCGTCCGCTGGGAGCGTAAACTGATGTGTTGTGGCGTTGTCGGTTTGTGTCAGACAGCAGACAAGCTGCAGGTTGTTTGTGCTCGACACAGACTGACTGACTGTGTAATCTCTCCTGTTAGCCATACCTTCATGCCCTTCACTCACAACAGCCCCCCTTTTCATTCTTTTTACCCAGCAGGCACTGGGAGCTGGACTTCTCCTCACCTCTCAATCGTGTGGTGGAAATCAGAAGTGAAGGTGTGAATTTGACACATTTAAATTTCCATGTTCAAATTCCTAAGACGAATTGTTTTCTTTTTTTAATTATTAATATTGTTATTTTGGAGGCAGCAGTGAACCGTGACCTCACTTGTGATTTCTGCTCTGATTGGTTGAAACGTGGAGGAGAGCAGCAGCAGCAGAAAGGGCTCTTGGCGTTTTCCTAAAAGTCTGTAACTCCACAGTCTGTGAGAAGCTTCACTGAGACGCCCTCCCTGCCTAACACACACACTCAATGACCTTGCACACACGCTGACACACACGCACACATACACATTTTTTTGTAAAATAAATGAATAAAATAATATATTCAGATACCTATATAGCATTTAAGAAAAATGTATAGAATCCTTGAATAGTGGCTCACTTAATTAGTCACCAAAAAGTTTTTTTTTTTTTATTTCTTTTTTTTTCTTATGTTGTCAATTGCAGAAAAATACCTATATTTTGCAGCCTGTTGAAGATGACAGGTGTGTTTTTTTAAATAGAGAAGCAGGGTGTCCTGTTTTGATGCTGCAGTGGTTTTCCCTTTTAAATGCGATCATTACTTTGATTTTATTTATTAAGGTTTTGTTGTTGAATTGCTGTTTTAAGATCCAGACAATTCAAATTGCCACAGGATAATCAGTGTTTATGAGACGAGGAGTGGAAGATGGTTCTGATCTGTGGCTACGATGACCCTCGTCATTTCTGTTTTCTATCAGCCAATCACAGCATGAAATGTGGATGAAATGATTTCCCAATCCACTTAGAAGCAATGTATGCAGGGGGGAGGGGGATGGGGTGTGAAGTCAGAGGTGTCATCGAGCATCATGTGACCTCTGACAATCACATGTCAAAATAAAATAACGAGTGTGTCTTTAGTCAGTGAGACGTCTATGCACTGAGAGAACCGTGGTCCAAAACAAGCAGCCTGAACCCAAAATAAAAGCCCCTGACTCTCACACACAACAACAGAATTAGTTCATTCTAACTCATCAAACAAACAACAAACAAACAAACACTACCTCTACTTTGTACACACACTCGTTCATGCCATCACACACGCGCACACACACACACACACACACACACACACAGACACACATTCACACTGAGCTTGTAATCGCTGAGTGACTCTTATTTTCCAGATTTATGTCATTAAGAAGGGCCTTTTGTTGTTATTATTGAAAATCTGTGTTTTGTTTTGTTTTTTCCCGTTAGTCAGCTGGAGCGTTAAAGGTACAGCACACCACCACAGACTGTCATTTTAATGACGATGATCTTGTTGAGACTGCCAATCTTTTTATGCCTCATCATCCAGTTTGTCCTGTCGGCAGAGGAGCCTGACTGCTTCTTTAGCAGTCGGCCAGAAAGTCACACGATAACAAAGTTTTGACTGTCAGAGGAAATGCATTAATATAACTGTGATTTAACCACACCGGCGCTGTATGTGTCCCTGACATCTCCGGTTGGATTTCAATGTGGTGGTAACATGATGATGGAAGTGTGCAGTGGGTGGTCAGAGCAACAACAGGCTTGAAGTGTTTTTCTCACTGGCCTCCTGTGGAAGTGGTGAATGTGTTTAATTCAACAGCTCAACCTTTAGTCTTTGAAAGAGAATAGAAAAAAGAGGAATTGTTTTCCCCTCGTAGATGCGACGCTGTGATTTCTGAAAAATATCATATTTACAAAACAAGCAAGCGAGGCATCGAGTGACCAAACATTAATTTCATTTTGAACTTATTTAAGATGGTGCTACTGCAGCAAGTTAAACTTTTCTCTCCTCTTCTGCAGATAAACCAGAATAGTGACTTGACGTTGTAGACTGTTCAGTATATAATGGTGATGTAAACCTGGCCTCTAATCTAAGATCCTATTAACAGCTGATTTACTCCAAGGCTTCACACTCCTCTCTGACTTATGTGTCTGTGTCCTAAATGTTGAAAGAAAAAGTTTGAGTTTGATAATGCTTCATAATTCACGATCTCTTAAACACAGACTATCAAACGTTGACTTAATCAGAGAAAAGATGGCCGAATGAGACGTGTGATTTCTCATCATCAGCCCAGCGTGAGGCCGAGGCTCTTTCACTCTCCCTGCAGGCCGGCAGCACAACACTCACTCTGTAATTTCACCACCATCACAGGCATGTGGGACACCAAGCTTGTCTTGTTCAACAATCCATGAATGTGAATTGTTAAAAAAATTTTTTTTTTTTTTTTTTTTTTGCACATGACATAATTAATTAATGAATTAGACACTGCCACAGAGTGCATCAAAAAAAAAAAAGCTGGAATGGAAAGTGTGCTGTGCTTTTCAGTATTGTCATGAGCATGATGGTTGGTAACAGGTCATCAGAACACGCGTTGCCAGGATGATCCCTTGCTGTTTTTGTTTTTTTTTCTTTCTTTCCCTTGGTCTGCTTATGTTGTATCTCTCTTCACCTGCGCTGACGTGCTCTATCAGAGGTGTCACTGCAACGGCCCAGTAATCACTTGACGTGAGTGTGAACACGTGAATGCATCGAGCTCTGGTGAAACTGTGTGTATGTGTGTGTGTGTGTGTGTGTGTGTGTCTCTTTTGGTGGAGACTGGTGCCAAGCAGTTTTATTACGGGTCTCTCTCAAAGGGATCACTCGTGCTTTCGTTTCATTTTCCTCCTTTTTTTTCCCCCGTCTGTTTGATAAGCACTTTGAACCTTCTCATGTCTGTCAGAGGAGTGTGTAGCTGTACATAGCAATTTCCTGTAACAACAAGTGCTCCTTGTTCAGTCTGAATATTTTGTTTTGTTGGATTTACTTTAAAGAGCATTACATTGTTGTAGAATTAAAGGAGAAATAAACTAGATAAACCTACTGTGTTGTCTGCTAGCAGCACCTGATACCTGCTCTCACTGATACAAGCTGACACGGTTGGAATATCTGCAACTGAACACACACACAAAGAAGAAGACAGTCAACACTCATACACTTCAATCATGTTTAATGCATGTACTGATATACATCTCTAAAAATCATACCGTCAATACTGTCTAACATCAATGTCTACTTATTGAATGCAAATTCGAGTGGATACATGACAGAAAAGAACAACTAAGAGAAAGAATCAAGATCGAAAAGCGACAAGTGCTGCTCTAAGTTAGTCATGCTCACTGATGTGACGAATGGAGGTGGTCTTACTGGCTCTAAAGAAACGATACTAGAAAGTGACGACCCCTGACGATTACTAGACTTCATATCACTGCACAGAAACAGGACATCTGTACCATAATCAACAGCAGCAGCAGCGGCGGAGTAGGAGCAAGCTGAGGTGGCGTCAGCCGGCCTGACTGCACGACGTCCGGCTTCAGAGGCAGAGCTGCGTGTTTCTTCATCTTAGGTTTGCTAAAAACAACACAAGGAACACTTGGAGCAAAACATTGCTTAATAATTGTTTTACAAAGTATGGCCGGACGACGACTGTCAATAAAGCAATCATATGCAATTATATATCAAAGGCTATTTAGTCAAGAGGACCATACATTTGATCCAAAGAAAGAAGACTGGTCATGTAACAAGGATGAGTTTTTAACTCCTGTTCAAATCCAATCTCATGTGCAAAGTGTTGCTTCCTCAGAGCTTCTCTTCATGATTTATGTGAATATTAAATGTCAGTTTGATTCTCTCAACAGAGAAGAAACCTAATGTGATATTTCAGACTCTAATGAAATCTTGATATAATATTTCTTAACCAACGACATCATTAATCTCCCTGCAACATCTTTAGAAACTCATTTTTAAAAAAAATAGACATGGCTTTACCAGCCGACTATTCCTTTTATCTATAAAAACTCAGACAGCAATATTTACAACTTTGAGTATATATTATAAAGTAGATTCTCTTGATCTGTAGATCAGCGGAGGTTCCCTGCCACCAAATCTACTGCGGGATTTCTCCCATGAAAGCACGTGTCAGAAAACAGGATTGTCGCAGGAGACGTCTCCCAGTGCAGGTTTATGTGTTGACGAGGAACTGAGACTGCACTATGTACAGGCAATGAAGCTGACAGTCAGCCTGAGTGACAGGTGTGTGTTTGTGTGCATGTGTGTGTGCTTGCACGTGGATCAAGGGTTTCCCATGGTTTCTCTTCAAACCTCCAGTCAGGAGCAGTGAGGAACTGGGTTCACACCGATGACTGGTCCCACACCTGCAAAAGAATAGTCAGAAATGATCATCCGTTGAATTTCATCATTTCTACTTTCAAATCATTACACCAATGTAAGTGTTATTAAAAATAAAGAAGCGGCTGTTTAACCTCAGCAGGTGTGAAAATCTTAACTGACGAGACATTCAATTAAAATATAGTTGGAACAGTTGGAACAAAATAAAAATCTGGACTTGTTCAAATAGGAAGAAATAGTGGATTTGTTGCGGACTGTTTTCAGGGGCGGATAAATACACATTTGGAATACTGAGTATTTACAGCAGCAGGACTGGAGTGAGGAGGAGGAGTGAAAATAAACTACAGTCTGTGTGTTGATGGTAATGAAGGGACATGTCACCCGGTACACCTGTTTTGTTGTCTGCCTCTTTCAGTGTGTTTTCATACATTTGAACTATTTCAGGGCGAAGTGTTGATTAAGATCCTGCAGGTTTACTCACTATGATGGACAAGGAACTGACCTGGAAGAACAAATCGAGAGCTCAAAGACAGTGAGAATCAGAATCTACAGAACAGAACTGGTTCTAGCAGCTGGAAAAGAGCAGCTCTGTGTTAATGGATGAATAATAGATTATACGGATTATAATCAACTCCAAGATGCAAAGTGCTCGTTAAATATTAGAAAACCTCTGTTACCAGAGGTAAGATTTGCTTTTGTTTCTTTCAGCGTATTTTCACGTTTTCTCTTTTGTTCTATGCTGTAATAATAATCTCAACATTTCATGGGTTAGGGTTAACCCGTGAAACTCTTACAATATTGTATTTATAGCGTTTTATTATTCAAGAATTTCATTCCTTTCATTTCATTTAATTTCATTTATATAGTTGTTTCCATTAGCTGATTGCTGCTTATGCTGCTTGCACACGTTTTTTCTTTTATTTCCACATTTCTTGCTTCGCTGAGCAAGGAACGGGCCCAAGCCTGAAGTTAGACTGATAGGTCACGATAAGTCACACATTGATATTGCTGGGTTATTAAGGGTCATAAGAAAGGTTGGGAACCAGTGGCCTAAACTACAAATATAAGTGCATATCAAATGTTCAGTGATGGAACCTCTCAGTGTTGTGTTTGTGTGTTTGTGTGTTTTTTGTTTTTGTTTTTGTTTGTTCCCTCCTGTGTTTATTGAACAGCTGATATTCGAGACAGGAAACAAGGGACGAAAAGAGGTGTATGACCCTGGGTAGAACTGATCTGGGGACATTCAGGAACATGGTATACATCGTAAGCACCCAGCCACCAAGACGCCCCTGCTGTACCTTGTTAACAGGGGCGAGCTGTGTTCGGACAGACCCAGCGTGGAGTCGGGTGCTGTCCCCGAATCTCCCGGGGGACCTCTCCCTGCGACTGTCCAGCACCCTGCCGGGCGACTTCTCTCTGTCCAGCGGTCGGGCGGGAGACTTGTCCCGTCTGAATTCGGTGCGGCCCTCCCTGTAACGATGCGGGGTGCTAGGCTCTCGATGCAGGCCGTCGTGGCTGCCGGGGCCCGAGGACAAACGCTTGGTGATGTGCTCTGTGTAGGTGGGCGGGCCTCGCTTACTGGGACTACTGAAGAAAACACAGCAGAGAGAAGCATGTCACTCAATGTCCAAACCAAGAAGATTTGATATTTTTACAGCAGATGGCACTGTTGGCCCAGTCAACAAAAATAAAAACCATCCTGGTCATTTAAGTTCCTACATGCGAAAGTCAACACAGTCCACAATAAATGTGTTGTTGTTGATGTGATTAGTTTTTGAGTGTTTTGTAGGTGTTGTAAGTGTTTTTAGTCTCTCCTTCACAATCTAATTTAAATTCTGTTTGTTTTTTTTTTTTTTTTGCTCAAACTAAAGTAAAGAGATCAAACACGA